ATCTCGCTGCGCAAGGTTAGCCTAATCTAGTTCGCCTCCTCCAGAAATGATTTAGAACAAACTAATTATACCTATACAAGCCTACATCGACATACTTCATTCAGATGGGCCCACTTAACAGCCGATTTCAAATTATTTCATCGATTTATTTTACATTTTATTGTTCTATGCACCTTAATCTAACAATCGGGAGAGGTGAAGAAACACCAGTGATGCTGACACAACGCTACATTTAAAAGTTATGCCTACAACTTCACACCCAATTAACTGCACACAGCACTTCGTGCGTATTAAATATTTTTTGAATATAAGATGTAAATTAGCCTTAAAATCGTCTTAAATGACAATAGTCGCAAAGTAACTTCTGGGCTTCTGACTTACCACATTATTTTTGTAGATTTATGGAAAGGTGCAGCTGCTCCAGGGCCTGGATCAGTCACGTGTGGCGTCGTCACTGTGCGTAAAAGAGCGTACGGCGCGCTGTGGCACGCGTGAGTGAGAGGGCTCATCACAGGATGTATGAGTGCTACAAGGGTAACTATCTTCTTTTCTCCATGTTTGTCTATACCTCACTCTAGTAATATTACAGACTTCTCTAGGATTTTTATTTCTCAATTGTTTTGATCTCAACTCTTTATACGCCTAGCTAGCTGCATGTAGCTGTTTGTTATTAGCATATAAAATAGTAAATTTGCCACAAAAAGAGTGGGTATCATAACAATTATTCATGTGTTTTCGTATAGCATTGAAAATTAGACAGAGCACTTTCGTTGTCCAATATAATCTCAATGAGTTGCCCATATCTGTATGTATGAATAATACATGAGCCCCACACAACCACATTTTAAGACCCAGCTGTTGCCTTTTTCAGACATCCCAGTGGGCTATACCAACTTGCAATGTGCCAAGAAGACTTTTTCCATATAATATAATGTATAGGGTTGAGGTAAATCTACCTGGGACTTTGATGCATTGACCTGTGCACCATGTGTCTTGTCAGTCAAATCTAATAATCCAACACGTGAATTTGGGAGATTTAGCAAAAACTCTTCTTTTTCATCATTTTATTTCATTATACCTTTAAATATATGTTAGTCGCAACACACTAGTCACAACAGCATGAAAATTCAGTTTAGCCAGTTGCCTCAAAATCCAAAATTCAAATCCAAATCTTGTCTCTTGCATTCATTCTCTCCACAACCACTGTCCCACGCCTCACGCCTGTCTTCCTCCACTGACCCAGTCCTCTCTTCCCCTCTCTAAAATATTGATAGCAGACTCTCACTCCAGTCTCTCTTTCCGCTCAGGTTCCCATCCGCGGTGAATCAGCAAAGCAAACGAAAGCAACCGATGAAGGCCTTTATATGTGAGTCCAGACTTACACCCAATCTCACTGCAGCTGGGGCAACACAGATGCCGCAACAACAACAAAAAAAACTGCTCAATAATCAACATTAGATCCACCTGGGACTACCCCGTCTCGTATGGCGTTGTGGGACACCCTGGATTATTAGGCCACTTTTCTCATTGCACTCCTCTGTGTCTTATCACGTGCACATTAATATTTCATACGCCTTACACTCACTCATAGTGACTCTGTTTAATAGCTCCAGTATTGTATAGTGAGCTGCAATAGGTTGTGTAGCTGAGGTTTGTGATTTAGTACACCTCTAGTAAACACTTAATTTTCACTTCAATTTCATTTCCCCAAATCAACATCATATTATGACAAGCATGCATAAAGATTATAAAGAATGCTCCCATGTAGATAAAACAAAAAATTAAGATCTTGTAAAATATAAAATTAATAATGTTATTGATTTAAGATCACATTGCCCATCCCAGTCACATATAGTGTCATCAAGTGTCTAGCTTATTGACATCATACAAAAATGCTTCCATTTCTGGATACTTTACAAATCCATATGAGATAGCTGATCATGTAAAATGAACTGAAACTGAGAGAACTAAATGGTAGAGCAATTATCTATGCCATAATTCATGGGGCAAAAACAAGACAAACATGACCTATCTTTGCAGACACATAGGATTTAAACCATAGCAAGTCAACATTAAGTTTTTTGGGGTTTTTTTTCTAGCATGTAATGCCTGTGCACAATGAGGCTACCAGCCGCTCTTTCATCATTGGCTTTTAACAATTGAGTAGGCGTACACAATTATCTCTGTATTTTGATGCTGAACATTGTAATTGTCTCCTGTCTTGCTGTCTAAGCTAAGTAAAATAGTAAATGTCTACCCTTGATAAGGCCCATGCAGAGGAGCACATCACATCCCTGGCCCTGCCTGATCAAATGGCCCTTGACAACAGCAGCAGCAAAGGACGCAGGGCACCTCAGCTGTCTTCCCAAGCATTGATCATGTACGTGCACAAGTGGAGAAGGATACGTACAAGAGGGGCGGGGTGCATCCTCATAGCCTATATCCATATCTTACCCTCAGTCCTCCGGTTTCCCTCCTCCTCTTCCTCGTGCTGCTCTCTCACTGCGTCTCCCGCATGCCGTCTCGAGCGTCCGCGCCCTCACCCACTCATCTTCCGTCCTCCTCCCTTTCCTCCAGATGCATGAAATATGAATCAAATATTCAATAGCAAACGGCGGTGGCTCGGTGCGTGGGTCTTCAGACGAGCAAGGCAGTCACTATGAGGCGGTCATTAGCGACAACAACTGGGCGTTCTCTTTCCAGTTTACAGTAGCCCTCCCTAAGCGTCCTGTCGAGGCTCGATGTCTTCCCTGCTGCGCTGTGTGACCGTGCGTCACGTTGGTATCACAATTCCCACGGGTTTCATGCCCAGAGATGATACGGGCCTGGTATAGCTCCGGTGCATACGACGAGAAATGAAAATACAACGAACAATGCTAATTAAGGTAGAAGGCGCGCATTGTGCATCGATAGGTCTCATTTGGACTTGCCCATTGTTGGTGTTCTACGCGCTCGTGCTCTTACATCCATGCAGTAAACGGCAAAAGAGCGTCGACGTGATCCCCATATCCTTGAAGAATCGTGATAAGGCGCAGCACATCAGGATAGATGAGCCGCGGATTTTTCAACCAGAAGAGACAAAGGCGCTGAAATAAATTATAAAGATGAAAATAATTAAAGGACAAAAGCACTGGCTGAGGTCTAGAGATACGGGTTCTTGCTTCTGGCCTCGCCTTGCATCCGTCCCTCTCTGCTTTCTCTCTCTCCCTCCCTCTCTCTGTATCTCCATCCGCTAGTCCCGCTTGTTGCGCGTTCTGCACTCGAGAGCGCGCAACTTGTGTGCGTATGCGCGCGTGTGTGTGGCGCTTGCATGTAGAGCGAGGGAGGCAGAAAAACGAGAGTGAGGCAGAGCCTCGTCTATATTATCAGGGTTTGTCTGAGTGAGCAACTATAAGCTGCTGTGGTTGCAAGAAAGAGCCGTGGAATAAGTTGAGGCTATGTTGATTTGCCCGTGTCTGCTGCTCACCTCGGATACTTTGAACAATCCTGCTCTCTCTCACCTGTCAGCACTGTTCAAGTTTCCTCCATCTTAATCTTCTTCCTGGTAGGGATCAATTAGATGTGGGTGTTATGCCTATTGTCCATAAAGCCCTGTCAACACTTTAAATACTGAAGGATTCTTTTTTGATAAATGCACAATTACTAGAGTTTTTACAGTCCCCAAAATAGAATTTATTATACCCTGGTCCACATACTTTTCATTAGCATAAAAGAAGCATTGTATTGTAATCTTTAATTGGAATATTTTACGTGCCACCAAACAAGCTATGGCTTTGCACATTCTGATGTTGAATTTGTCAGGACTGGAGACTGTCATAAAGTGTGTTTATGGCATCAGACTGTGATGTACATCACCTTGTCACAGTTTAAATCCCTGTTGTCAATCAGATGCCTCCTCCTTTCTTCACCCCTGATCTGATCATTTGTTACCACTTTGGCAGCCCGCTATTGCTGTTTATAGACACATCTGTTAAAGGAACCAAACCCTCTCTGAGATATCACCTGCTGCATACTAATTAGTTCGACTGCACAAAGCAGGTTACATATGCAAGGAGGATACATCATCTTTAGTGTCAATGAAAATGACTCATACTCAGTGTTGTTTAGAGGCACAAACTCTTTTAAATACTTCTGATTGCCCATAGACAATAAAGAGGAATACAGCTTCATCAACATTTAAGCAAACCTTGAAAATAAAACAAACAAAACATTTTAGTTCTAACTCATAATCGGGTGGTTCATGCTTTTGACTGTATGTATGTTCATGTATGACCCACATTAGGGGAGTAGTGATAAAAATCTGTAAATGGTTGAATTATATCCTTGGGGGCCATAAAACAGGCTATAATAGCCAGACTTGGATCAGACCTAACCTTGGCATGACGACTTTCTTGGCAGCATTCAAAGACTAAAAAACAGCGTATAAACTGGGGTCAGCAACAGTTAGCAGCATTCACCGTTCCTGTTACATTATTTTATTGGATGTTGGCACATCTATCCTCTTCTCTGAAGCTACAGCAGTGAGACAGGCACAGTGAGAAGCAGAGCTGTTAAAAGACAGATCTCCCTCTCTCTTTGACATTTCTCTTCTTTAAAACAGTGTTTGCAAAGAACATTTTTATTTACAAGAAATGTTCACAAATCACATTTCTTTTTGGGATGTTGCAAATCGACTACTATTTGATTGATGCCCTTTGCTTTGCCTTTACTTTCCTTTACTTAAAGCAACTCCAAATATAGGCCTTATGTAAATGTGAAGTCAGAGAAAGCAGCAACATTTCTTCATTAAGTTCCATACATTTATCCCCCTGACTTCATTACTCTATAGCAGTACAATGGTTTTATGGCAGATGAAGCTATTTTGTTACATTAAATATGGCGTATGCCTTTGAGTCCTTTGGAGAAGCTTCATGACCTTCTCACATCTGTTTAAAAGACCAATTACTGCAGCGTTAGGGACCTCTTCAGTCACTAATAATGTGCTATTTTCTTGGCCTCTGTCACCAAGGTGACTCTGTTCCACCATCTCCTCCTCCTCCATCCGCCTCTGCATCTTTTCTCCTTCCCCATCTTCCACGCTGCTCCTTCTTCTTGTTTTCCACCTTGTACTTGAGTCTCCTCACAGGGTCACTCAAGCTCCTCATTGACTTCTCGCTGATGTCGTCACTGATCATAAAGTTTCTGTCAATGATTTCGGCTGCCTCCTGCCAGTTCTTGTAGCAATCTGGACCCAAGTGCAGTATCTCCTCCACTGCATTTGGGGTAAGTACAGAGCTGTCGGGGCGCAGGACAACCACTGTGGGCACCTTCTCTATTTTAAACATGGCTTCCAACTCCCTGTGGAGTGCATATTTGTATATAGAGTTAATTTACCCTTACACTAAAATGTGTTTGCATTACATTCAACCACCAGCAGATTGGGTACACAGCTTTGACCAGTCGCGCTCACCTCCTGTAGGGGTCCTCGTAGGCCAGAAACAAGCATTTCTTGGGTAGCTCTTGGAGAAAGCTGTCCTGGTCGTCCTCTGACTGGTCCATGCTGGAAAAAAATGTTTTTGAATACATCGGACTAACGTCATGCAGGTGATGCTATTCTTTTTAAGGAGTTCAAAGTCGGGGAAAATATATTTGATTAACAATTAATGTGTCATATTTAAGAAAAAGATCATAAAAAAGATAGACATACTGTAGTAGTAATAGTAAAATGGCCTGATATAACAGAATCACGTATATTACTAATGCCCAAACACACTTCTGTTCAACAGAGACATGTGAAATCTCAGAGAGTTCTAGTCAGTCATACATAATAGATATGATCTGTCGGTGTGGTTGTTAAACCTGATGTAGAGCAGGACCAGCTGAGCCGAGCGCTCCACATAGAACTCGTCTGTGAGTCGTTTGTAGAAGTCACTGAGCGCTGGAGCAAACTCCTGGCACCTGTCACAAGCTGCTGAACCAAAGAACAGCAGCAGGATGCGGTTCTGCAGACGATTCACTATCTCCCGCTCCGTGTCCAGTTCATCCTGGTCCCTGTTGTTTTTAACCAAGACCCGGTTGATAAACAGGTCCACCATGATCACTGGTCTCTAGTATGGGATGATATGATGGAAAAATAACACATTAGGCATAGCATTATGACCATATGATTTACCCTCACTGTTACACCTAGGGAATTGGCTGTCAAACTTGCCAAAAGGTCCTCATCAACCACCAGAAATCATGTACTCACTCACCCACCATACTTTGGTAGGCAAAGTGTCCAAAATATATGACAAAACCATATCCACTAGTTGGAGCTGGAATCAAAGCGCTCTGCTACATGAGCCACTGCAGTAGGCTAGTATCTCTAAAGCTGCAACCAAATTTTAATGACAAAACAGTGGAGAACCAGTAATAGATGTATTTGGAGAGGATGCGTATTCAACAGACAACCCCATATAACACAATTCCCAAAGAAGTTAAAGCTGGACCGGATAAATAGTGCTGACATACTGGGCTATGCACTTAAAGAATTCCAGTGGTCATAATGTTATGCTCGATTGAGGTGACAAGCCTTAGGTTGTAAGTGTTTTTCTTTGTGTCCCTAGAAATGAAAGAAAAGAGCTATTTGCATCCATAATGTTACATAATCTGGTAATTTAGCAATTTAATAGCTATATTGAACAGAGTAATTTATACAGTAATTGCTCTTATTGTTCATTTAGCTTAACACTATTCAATGTAGATCTCAGGTGAGGTACAGTGTTTTTATTGGTATTTAGGGTCAAATATGAATTAAACAACTATAATGTAAAAGTCTAGATTTGTTTTAGTATTCTGTTTATGAACATACCTAGCATACTATCGAATCCTCTAATCCTAAATGTGCTTACCTCAATGTTATCTCCGATTGTGGCAGCAGCAAATCCACCATAAAAAACGCCAAGATGTCTCTGTCTCAACTCTTTGTGAATCGTACAAGACTCACTAACAAGGTGGTCACTTAATGTTTTGATTTGTTCACTGGCCACAGCTCCTGTCCATGCTGCTTGCACTGCCTCTGTGTGTGTGTGTGTTGCCTTTGTGTGTGTGTGAGGAGGGATTGAGAGACAAGGTGACAGCGGGACGGGCACATGCAGTCCTCACAGCCTGTACTTATCAGGGCTCATGAGTAGCAGCACAAATGAGTGAATCACTGATTTAAACACAAAAGGCCAGTCACAGTGAGACCTTTATTTCTTACTCACCAATGAACAGAAAGCACAGGAAGCTTTTGTCATATACTGGTGTGGACCCATTCACTGGTCACATGTGCAGCTGCATACTAAATAATAAATTGTACTGACTGACATGAAAATACTGAAAACAAGTTACCCATGATATCATCACCAGGCTGTACAAAAACATACATAATAAGCCATATCAACTTGACACATAGTGTTGAATATAGTTCATGCAATCTTCACATAAAACTTACTAAATAGAGCAGAGTAAGTGCCAGCACTTACGTGCTACGACATTACAATATCTGCCATTACAGGACTTCGAAATAATTCACTTCAAAGGGAACACAGCAGTTTTATCCTTGTACTTAAGGGGCATAAGAGCATGATGTAAGAGATTTGATGAATCAATTCATGTTACTTCATTTTTTTATTGTAGCATTGAAATACTGGTGTAGCTCACTACACCCTCTAGTGGTGTAATGTAACAAATCTAAATATTGGGCTTAAAGGTCCTACATTTTGCATCATTCATCATAAAGCATGAGTTAGAAAAGGTTACACTAAACTGCTAAAGGCCACACTGTCCAGATCAGTTAATGCAAAAAAAAAAAAAAAAAAAAGAGTCTGACAATAGATGAACTTTAGAAACAAAGAGGAGCATCCTGGATGACCAAAAGGTTTAAGCTAAAAAAAAAAAAAAAAAATCAATATAATGTCAGACCTTGAACAAAGCTGAATGTCCTATTTAGTTGTTTTTGGCAATAAAATACCACAACAAATAGTTATTGAAATTAGTCTGAATCATCTGAATTTATTCAGGGAGATTTAATCTCCTTGATTCGGTATTATCATGGACAGAGCATGTCTTTAAAGGAATCTCCACCTTCCTTTATTATCTCCGTCTTTTCTCATTGAGTCCCAGGCTCTGTCTGGTTCTTCCTCCTCATCTTGTGCTCTGCCTTTGGTCCATGGTTTCCACCATCTCTTCTTCCTTTTGTCGTCCTCTGTCTTGTACTTGAGCCGTCGCACAGGGTCAGTGGCTGTGCGTAAATTGAGGTTGTCAAACTCCTCGTTCAGCATGAAGCTCCTCTCCACTATACCTGCAGATTCCTGCCAGTTACTAAAACAGTCACAGCCGTACTGTTGAATTTCTTGTACCGCGTTTAGAGAAAGAACAGAGCAATCAGGGCGAAGAACCACCACTGTTGGTACTTCTGTAATCTTAAACATGGCCTGTAGTTCCCTATGAGAGAGGATACATACGTCAATATTTCACCATCTCCAGCATGTGGACTTTTATTCCCCAGAGTTGCTCTACAGATATAATATTACATAGTGCTTTGTAAATTACATTATAGCCCCATATTGACTTAAACTACCTAGTCCACACAATTAGGCAAATGGCAGTTTTCCTGGGCCATATTGTGACTGGATTTGGCACATGTCACTTATTTATATGTAAGGCATATTATTAAGTTTAAATTGCTCAGAGAGCCTGTTACTCATCCAGGTTTTCACTACAAATGAAAACATCTATTGTGTCAAATGCTCACTGTCTGTATGGATCTTCAAAAGGCAAGAACAGGGTCTTTTTGTGAAGATCTTTGAGAACTCTCTCCTGCTGCTCCTCTGTTTGGTCCATGCTAAAGAAAGATAGAATTTGTGTATTTTAGGACATTCAAGATAAATGAGTACAAGAGAATATATAAGAGAGAAAACCAAACCTGATATAGATGAGAGCCAGCAGTTTGGGGTATTCGATGTACGCTGGATCCTTTAACCTCTTGAAGAAATCAGTGAGGATAGGCACAAACTCCTGGCACTTGGTACTGTCGGCTGCTGCGAAGAACAACATGAGGATACGGTTCTCCAGGATCCCAGTGATCTCTCGCTCTGTGTTCAGTTCATCCTGGTCCCAGTTGTTTTCCACCAGGACTCGCTCCAAAAACATGTCCACCATGATCCCAGATAAGATCACAACCAGAGGAAGGGGCCTAATAAATATGTGAAGAACACTTGTCAGAATAAAATCTACACAGCAACAAAAATGTGTCTTAAAATAGCAGATTTCACATTATGGTGGTATTAACTTGATGCTAAGCGTCTCTCTCTCTCTCTCTCTCTCTCTCTCTCTCTCTGAAAATGTCTAAAATTTTGCATAATATATTAAACAACCTTATTTTATGAAATATCCTAGATATCTTACAATATCCAAACAGAAATCTCCACACGTCCAAAGGGAATGAGCTGAACGGCGTTGCTATGGCAATCATTATTCCAGTAAAGGCACTCCAAATTAAAATTAACCAACATTTAGCACAAGCACAAATATGTTAACAATATGTTCAATAAATAATCCAAAACAAAGGAACACAAGAAGAGGATTGGACCTGTGTTTTGAGTTGTGCATTTCAAAAAGTACAAAGTCTAATAAAATTAAGCAAGAACGTCCTCACAGCAAGCCATCTTTAGCCTCCAGTCCTATCCAATTGTGCTTATAGCTCACGTCAGAAGTAATCAGTGTAGGATTTCTGAATGCCTAACACCAACAGAAACCTTGTTACTGGTTTATTTTCAGAACAGCTGCAGTTTTTATAATAACGCAATCTCATACTCTTGGTAAATCTTTTTTTTTCCAAAGATGATGCAACAAACATCTGGAGTGGTGATCAGGCTCAGAACACAGTGCAGAGGTCTGTATATTACAGCAACAATTTGTGTTTATAAATGTATAATGCATAGTCATTTAAAAGCATCATTTTCTGTAGACTTGAGTGTAAATTTTATTTCTTGAGGTTACAGATTCCCTGGCAACTCGGAAGTCAAATTTGCCTTTGAGTATATTTCGGTAATCCCAAGTATAGTAGGGTATAGTTAAATAAAAATGTATTTAATATAATTCAGAAGCCAAAACCTATGAGAATTGCATTTGTGCAGCAGAAATAACAACAGCTCAGAGAATGGTTTTATCTGTGGTGCCCAGCCTGTATTTTACTTTCGCTGCAGACGCTGTGGGCTGAGAATTGACAGCGATAACCTCACAAATGAGATTTGGCTGCGTAGCTTTAAGCTGTGCCAGATCTATTTGAGACACTGGACTTGAAACTTGTGCAAGAAAAATGTTTGAAACTGAGCAGCATCTTGGGCGCCTAACTGGAGGATTTACTATAGTCCAGCAAAAGGTCAAACCCCACACTGCACATTTAGAGAAGTTATTTCACAATTATCTGGATTACTTCTGATGTTAATCAATAGCTCTTGATGTATTGGCTTATACCAGCAGTGCAGCCATGTTCTGTTCATTACTGTATCATTACACATAGGCCTGTCACATTAAGCACTGTACAGAGCCATTGTTCAGTAACATGGCAAATGGACAATATTTTCAGGAAAAATACTTTTTCTAATTTAGGTCTTATGTCAAGACCCCAGTCGGGTCTTGTATTGTTTTAGCAGTATGTGACCATGTGAACTGCATGGAGAGTTGTGAAATAACATAGTATGAGTCATAACATAACACATATGACATAATATAAGACTTATTTTTACTGTGACAGAACTAGGCATGGGATGATATTGAAATTTGGTGTCACAATTATCATGGCCAAAATATTTGCAATTAACAATTACATGGACAGTTTAAAAATGTTATGGACATGAGTAATTATTTTAATATGAATATATTCCATATTTAAACAACTGTTATAGAATTTTACCTTGTTATAAGTGAAAACCATTTTCTGCACATTCTGGCTATTATCTTTGTTGGTTAGATTATATACGGAGATGACTGTCTACCTTTTTATCATGATAATTTATATTATTGTTTATTGTCCCAATCCTAGACAGGACTGACACATGTGTATATCTACTCTAATGCTAATTTGAGTACATTTTGCACCATTTTTACCTGATATGACTATACAAGTAGTAACAAGTAGACTACTTTTTATTATTTATGTAGCCTTTTGATATACATATTTCACATGCTGTAGTTAGATAGGAAATGCATTTATAGTCCTTGTCTCACTGTTTACATAAACAAAACAATAATACATTCGGTTACATAATCTTATCCATTCTTCTCTGTTGTGTGGTGGTATTTACCTTTAACTCCTGTCCACCGGGTTTGTCCAGATCTTGTTCCTTCTTTAACTCATTGTTGTGCCTTTGAGTTCAGGCCCACTCTCTCTGTCCATGACTTAGACCGTTTTCTTTTAAATCCTGTGAAGTCTCCTATTTCGCAGGCACCTTTCAGTGGCCATTGGAGCGGGGGTGTGTGTAATTTGTTCAGTCCATGGGGGAGATTACAGATCGCTGTAGGTGTGGCACTGCCGTAATGCAGGGCAGAGGTGTCCCCTGTGTGAGTGTTCATGTGAGTGTGTGCAGAGCCAAGAAACTCAGGCTCAACCTCGACAATCTTATTACTTAAAGAGTACGAGGGATCAGGAAATGGGACAAATTGGATTGCAAGGTGGGACTGACATATGGGTCAAGAGGTTCCAAAGAGACGGACAACAGTGTTTTATGTGGACAATGAGGTCTCCTGACCCACAGCAACCTCTGCACCACACAAGCTGGGCAGCTCAATATATCTCACATTAAACATTAATGCAAAATTCATTACTTGAGTTGTTGACAAACTGGACAAACTGTGCAAGTTTATGGTTCTCTGGTGTCATGTAGCATACCTAAGTTATAATTTTCTTTTGTAACCCTGGGTTAGACCATTGTTAAATCTTGGGACTATTTCCTTAATTTATTGCTCCAAAGTCAAAACTGTCGAATATTATTAGCATGTTATCGCATACAACATTAGAGGGTGTTCAATAATCCATTTGGCAATAGTGTGAACATATTCTTAAGTTACAATATTGAGCCTTTTTTTCTGTTGAATGTTTATCGGAAGAACTGAAAAAAAAAAATCATAATCAACAAGCATCCTTTTGGTTACTCAAGGCATATTCCAAATGTACTGGATTATGCATCTTATTGTGAAAGATTGTTGGCACTTCTCAGCCCTGTACTGGGTTGTTGCATATTCTGTCCCTAATAAATTTTTACTCCAGGGCCCTTCATGATAAATGCATACATCCAGCTATCAAAAGTGTGTGGGAGCTTGGCAGCAGACCTTTAAGGAAATGAACCAAGGAAGTCAATAGTTTGAGTCTGATTGTGCAGCAGGTCCCACTGTAGAAAGTGGCTATTGATCTGAGAGGCACTTGCAGAAAATACCCGGGTTAATCTGAGCGAGGGCTGAGGTAAGTATAGCAGTGAAGGCAGCTCTAACAGGATTAGTCTGAGTCACAGACATGTGCAGTGGCACATGGTGTACGCAGCACTTAACTGACACAACAAACTGGACACACAACCAGGCATCTCTGCAATGCAACTGTTGGCAGAGATGCACAACTAAACACATAGACCCTACAGGATGTAGTGCTGAATGAGAAAAAAGACATTAAATAACCCAAAAATGTTATCTGATTTTAGGTGTGTTTACATGCAAAATAAATCTGATCAAATACATATCAGTGTTAGTTAATCAGTAGATTTAGAGCTGTAGATACTGCTGTATTTGGAAGAAAACATATATATTTTTAAATAATTTTAATACCCTTTTGCATAACATTCCTTGTGCAAACCTGAACCCACGAACAATCAGAAAAAAAATCTATTTATTCACATTAGGTCTAACTGTGTACATGACATTTAAGTAATCTCTCCAGGAATCAAATTATGATGACGTTTTTGCGTGCATCTAGACATAGCCATTGAGGCGTGCATATAAGCTGTACTGCATTCACCACTAATTAAAGTGTATGCATGAAAAGACAAAAAACAATAGTATTCTTATCAGTGCAAAGTATTAAAAAGATTTAAAATAATTAAAAGCAGTTTATTATCATTTACTCTGCATTGAACCCTAACTTCAAAATGAACCCACAGACAATTCATTATAAACATTTTATTAGTTCTCTTGTAGAAAAGACACAAATCTAGAAAATAATATAAAAATGGCCAACAAACATGTTAAAATTAGTTAATCACCAACACGGTGACAAACTCTAGATTTCAAATAACACATTACCTGAAATTGAGTTTAAATCCTCCTGAATAAATAAAATAGGCAGATTATTTGAATTTAGATGTGCAGCTAAATTGTTTCTTTGTTTGAACTAGCATAAAAGGTGATTTGGATAATTTATTATCTTTCCATCCAGTCAGCAGTTGGATTAAAAACACAAAGAAAGTCCATATGGTCAACACAAGATGCTGACAGCTTTACAGACTACCTTTATTGAGCCACTGAATTGTAAAAGGCTCTCTTCATATTTAGAACTCCATTTTAAACCCCAAATTGCAGCTATTACACAGATAATGTGAAATTGTGCGATCGTTGAGAGTTTTATAGGAGTAATGAATGCAAAGTACTTCTAACTCTGACTGTGCACAATCTTTATGCCAAAAAACCCTAAAAGGAGGAAAGAGTCTGGGATGAAATATTATGAAAATAATAAAAGTGTGCTTCAGTCAGACCGTGGAGTGAGCTCTGCGTCCAAGGCAATAAATAAAACTGTGCTTCAAGCTGACTCGTCAAGAGTTAAAAGATATCTAACCCCGTCCTGTCACAGAGGGGGTGAGGGGCACAATGGGAGAAACAAAGAGGCAGTATTCAATAAATATGAATATTGTTGATTTTTTATACTTTGGAATGTGGATTTGATTTGCAATTTAGTACTGCAATATAATGAATTGAATTTCTTATATTCTTCAAAAAATCAGTAGTTCACTGTAAAGCAAAATACAGATTTAGTGCAATTAGTGTGAAATATTAGTATTAGCAGTAATATTCTTAATTTATCTTTTATTATCTTGGCATGTGTATACTATCATTGCCCTGACTATTAGGTACATTTGAATGTAGTGTATTAGAATGTAATACACTACATTCAAATGCATTATTATCACTACTGAACAACAAATACTAAATATCACTCTATGTATTAAATAAATAGTACAGTTTACACTGTATATTTGTTAACTTTACTTGTATTGAACTAAAATACATTCACTTTTTCCACAATAGACAAATTTATTGCTATGCATTTGAGGCATTTCTCTCCAGCCCCCTCCACACAGTCTGAGCTTCACATTTCTGTTGTTTTCTTTCTGTATCATTGCGTATTTCACAGCTCCTCCCGTTTGCTCCACTTCTCCAGCTCTGACTGTAGCACATCAGAGTTTTGTGCCTCAAAGCTGAGCTCCTCCTGTTCCTTAGTCTTCCTGGACTTAGCCCTGTCCCAGTCGGTTTTGACCGTCTCATTGTCCCACACCACAGATGTCTCTGTGTCACTGATGTAACCTGGCTCACCTGTGTAATGAGTGGGATACACCAGAAGGGGCTCTGCTGAGTAAGCGTGCAGGTCCCGGGGCTCAAAGGGCTCCATGTACTCAGATCTGTGGGAGGGAATACCAGGCACAACATTTGTACATTATCAGGTTCAGGCATAATATAATTTTCAACATACTCTACTCTGTTATGACCTGACTGTGATTCACCAGGAAGCCAATTCTGACATTTTGGACTACCATTAACTTTAGCAATTTCACTATAGTCAGTGTGCCTCTTGTCTGTTGTTTTCCTTTTGATAAAGATTATGATACTGTATAAGATTTTCCCAGGTCTTATTTGCTTGATTCTTTAAGTTTTTCAATGTTTTTTCTGGAATTTTAATATCAATGATATTTGGTCTACAGCCATGTCTATCAATGGAAGCAAGTGTTTTGGAGGAAGAAATTTGACTATTTTTTGTGATACTTGATTAGATTTTATGATGGCTATGTTTAAAAGTCTTAAGGAACTTAATAGCAAAAGCCAGTTTTGTTTCTTTTTACATTTTTCTTAGTTTTTAATAAGACAAAGTTAAATAGAATAAAAAAAAAAAAAAAAAAGATCAAGCCATAGGAGTAAAAAATTTGTTTTGTTTTGTCTCATACAACCCAGTCCTACCTTGAGGCCACAAAGTTAACTTGCTGCCTAATCTAATAGTTTAGTTTAGTTTAGTTTAGTTGTTTATTTATTAGGGACAATGCACATAAAAACATTGAGCTACACAAAAACACAAAGAGGTCATATGCTTGTGCTAGGTTAGAGCAAAATTGTTAATTTCCATAAATATAAAAAAAATATTATGTATATACTGTTTAAATGCAGGCTCAAGAGATAATCGTTGTTCTCAGTGATATTGCGACACTTACACTGGATGTTTGTTGTACATGACGGGGAGAAACTCATCAACAGGAAGCATTTTGGTTAAAGGTTCGGCCTGGATAAGCTTCTGGGCTCCCTGCAGTGACAGCATGTATCCCAGAGTCCAGTAGGAGTAATCGGCTTCCACCAGGTTGTATATGTTTGGAACAGACTTCTCTGGATGGTCAATCTGCATCCGCTTTCGCCCAATGTAACTGATTTAATGGCAAAAATAATAATACATTTTAAAAAATCTAAGCTTCCGCCATCTTTTATATATAATAAACACAATTCTACATTAAACAGACATTCTGGTTCCTCCATGTTATGATCTGTCACCTTCAGACACTACATCTACCTTTGACTCTTTTACAGCTCAAGTCACTCTATTTCCACCACAGCAGCAAAACATCAGTTCATCCATCTATTTTCATTTAAACCCTGTGTACGATATTTTACTTTTCTTGCATTACAGAGATTTACCTGGTCTGCCCTAATATAAACACCAAGTGTTTAAACTTGTGGTTTGTGTCCAGTTTGCAGTTGCGTCCAGTCCAGATGTAAACTTGGTTTGGTCCTGTTCTATTCTGGTTTAGTTTTGGTCTAGGCCAGGTGATGTGGTGTCTGTCCATGTGTGGACAGTAATCATAACTATAATGTGTATATCACCAATGTTTTTTTGTTTCCTGTGCTCCATAGTTTCAACAGTTTATTGTAGCTATTTCAGTAAAGTATAAAATAACATTTGATTTCTTGGCACAAAAATGTGGAAAACTGTCAGAGTCAGGAGGCTGGATGGAGACGTGTCAATCACTGTGAATTAATGTTTGTGATGCTTCACAGCAGCAGAGCTGAGGTTAAGATGAGCAGTTTTACTTAAGTTTACTTTGGCACAGTGCATGTGTGTCAGGAATAACATGTGAAATATCGCAGTCAGCCGGGAAATGCTCAAATACATGAATCCCATGAGTGCTGAGAGCTTGATCAGTGTTGTCTTAGATTCAATGTGTGACAGATGGATGCTTTTCACTGTGGGGGACAATAATCCTCTGTTTACTACAACTCCACTGAAGCGTCAACTCACATGAGATCCCAGTCCAACTTGTGCACTGTCACTTCCTGCAGCAGCGCCTGAAGACGCCGTTTGAAGAAAACCTCGAAACGGAGGTCGTCCTCCAAAACCAGCGAAGTTTGCAAACCTCGCTCCACTATCTGTGAAAACACCTCAAGTAAGCAACTCTCACAAGTTTGGAGTATTTCCCACTTGTGTTGAAACAGATATTCAGAATAGCATTGAGTGAAAGCTGTTACAATATCAGTGTTACTCATGGAGCTCACCTCCTTCCAGATGTTGAAATGTGAGAGGAAACAACCTAGTTCGCCCTTGGTGAGTGCTCGGCCATGATAAGGGTCTTTGTACCCGGGCAGCATCTTAATCCCCATAGCCTCAATATCAGTGGTGTTCAGGGCTCTCAGGTGAACAGAAGGATCAACAGGACATTAGATATGGACATAAGAAATCACAGGAGCAAACAGAGAAATGAGCGATATAAGTGTATTCATTCACTGCTTACACATGTACATGTGTTAAAGTTCACAGCTGAAATGCCATATGAATGAGGATTGTACTGTACGTGCTGCAGTAGTATGGTGGTGGTCCATGAGTTTTTTCAGCATTGTTTATAGCATGCAGTTTGTCACAATTTTATAGATGTTAGCATTACTCATAAGCACAAGAGAGGGCATCAGTGGAAAGGAGGAGAAACGTACTTCCCGTCCACAGCCTCCACAATCTTACAGCTGAGCTCCTGCTCGTAGAGGGTCCTCAGCATTCGCTCGCGGCGATCCGGTCTCCGTACCAGATTTATCATGAACACCTGGGTGCACACAGCAGCCTCAGACACATGCTCATATTACTGCTTAATGCATCAGTGTGCAGGCTGTACCTCATCAAACCCCATCTTGTTAGGCTGCTTCGGAGGAACTGACAGGAAACTAGAGGGCTCCAACGGAAGATTCCTCACTTAGAAAGACGAAAGGAATAAGGTTACATATAGATAGTAGTGTATATGTTTCATAAAGATGATATGGGATCAAGATACACATCATATAATACACTTTGTAATGCAATTGTACATGTTTTGACAAGTTGTTTTAATTAAAATTCTTGAATATACATAAAATGCTAGTTGATATGATTGGTTTTCAGGTTACCCATGATCTCCAGCTGTGTGTGCAGGAAGCTGTCTGCCTCGTCCTGCAGTGTGGCATGAGCGCGCATGGGCACTGGGAAGTACCCGTATGTCTCCTTGTTACACACGTACATCTGGACATCTGATTCAGAGACAGAAAAGCTGGCTCATTTGTGTGAAGAGGAGGAATTCATGAACACCTCCCGTAGCGTGTACCTCACCTGCCATTCGCGCTGAGTAAGCAAACACTATCACGTCATCCATGGCCCAGCTGTACTCTGGATGGGGAGGGTAGAACGCCAGCTGTCGAGAGGCTTCTTTTCGTAGATCCAGCAGATATGTGGAGTGGACCATGGGCACAGCAAAGCAACCTCGGCGTTCCTGCTTTCGAATAGGCATGTATGCAGGTGTTCTTTTGTAGTAGCCCTACAAATTACAGAACAAATATAAAAATACACTATATTTATATCCAGATATATAGACTTTCAGGAACATCAAAGCAAGTGAGATGAAAAGGAGGTGAAGAGTGGGGAGTTCTCACAGTACAGGCTCTGTACTTTATCCCTAAAATACCTTTGCATTCAAACATGGACACGCCTTTCTTTGTTCACAGCTTTGTACAGGGCTGTGTAACATTTTTATTGTGAATTGATTCCAGCCCACACCACCACAAAGTTGTTCTTCTTAAGGGTTCATTTTCATCCTTTGTTACCTGGATACTTGACATGGTCTATTTTTTCCACCTTAACTACCATTTGCTGTTGCTATGAATGTTGCATAAAATTACATTTTCTCAACGGGAAAACATGTATAATAACAGAAACATACTGTAAATGTAGCAAATTTATGTAATGCATATTTATCAATGTAGAATTGTAATTTTTGTAATGCATTGGATTAGTATTGGATGATTTGAATCAGCTGTGAAACATGTTATGAATATAATTCAAATGCAGTTACTAAAGCAGAAACTAACAACTTTTATATTTTCTATCAAAGGTTTATAAAGTAAATTCAAGTTTTAATGAACACCCACTTTTTTGTATGTAGATTAATTGTTGTAGTGTTTTCTAGAGTACACAGTACCTGAGTAGTCATTCCACACCAGAAGTTGGAGTAGGCCGCTCTAGACTCCAACATTGGCGCTACAATGGTTTTGTTCTCTCTCATCAGTTTCCACAGCACATCCTGATTGGTGAGCAGGTTGTCACAGTCAACCACCTGCAGACAAAATGAAGAGCATACATCACTGACAAAGATTTCACCCAAACAAGCACAAGAAAACACACTCCGAGCGCCGTGCCAACACTAACGATGAATAACGATAATGACTGAGTGCCTCTGACGTTGGTTTATTTGAGTGTTTAAACGTATACATCACTCAGTGGGGAGGGCCCTTTTGTTTGCACTACATTATGACTTGTTTGTGGGTCGTTTCGAAAGGCAATCGCTATCACAGTTATACTTTGGTAATACTTCAGTTATGGACCGCATATTAATGGCTAAAACTAACAGTAATAGGCATACTATGTAGTTAATCAGCTCTGTGTTTGTGTTTATAAAGTGGGCACCTTTCCTCTTCAGTGATCATAACAGTCTGTCCATGGTTTAATCTTTGATGTCTTGTCACTCTGAAGAAGAGAGCTGTGGTTCATATTTATAAAGTATATTTTTTTTATATTTTACTCTGTATGTATTTAACTACAATCTAGCCATTTACTTCTTTTTCCATTAATCACAGTTTTATAACATCATATAGATGTTATTGTACATTATTCATTATTAACTATTATCATAATACATATCAATAGGTGTTTTATAAACCCTACCTCTCAATAACCCTAAACTAACATACCAGTTAACATTTAGTTTGCCATTCATATGTGATCCCTTAGTGAAAGTGTAATCATACTTTTGAATAAACGATACCTGCCAAGAACAATACATCTGCTTCACTCTAATTCCTAATTTACTATGTAGGTTTGGCTGGTACAAATTTTTAAAATGAGATTGCATTTATCTCGAATCAGTCTCTCAACTCATCAAAAAGCAGCAAGTTTCACCACAGAAGAGAACTGCTGCTTATTTCTGAGTGCGAATGAAAAACACAGTCTAGATCATCATTTTATAAAGACCAGTCTATGCAGTTTTCAAAGTCACTCAAGTTGCCTTATTACTCTATAAAGGTTGTGTCTGTATGATTGTCCCTTATAAATATGTGCAGAGGGTCACTGGAACAAGTGTTTGTATTAATTAGTGAATGCGTATCTTAGATCTATATGCCTCTCCAAATACACAGTGCTGAATGACACCCACCCAACTGCATGTATTATAGTTGATATTAAACTGATTGGAAACATGGGGGTGGTTTGAGTCACACCACAAACGTTGAATCAACAGCTGAATCGGTACATTAAAATGCAGGTAACCATGGCAACAACTAGGTTCCATGTATCGCTCAACTCCACAGCGAAATTAAAGTCTATAGCTCTTGAGCCCACCGCATTACAGTGACGGTCAAACTGTGCATTACTTGGTCATAATATGGTCCTCTATTATGTGTGCATGTAGAATGAAGCCTATATATAGTTCAGTCAATAACAAAGGAAAAGATCATTTATTTACCTAATTGGGACTAAACCTTGGATTAGGGTCTAGACCATGACTAAAGCAGGACCAAACCTAGATTATACCTGGATCATACTACGGCCATACAAGGACAAGTGTTAACGTAGCCCTAATATAGGGAATATTTAGATTATTAAACATTAAGAATTTACTTTGTTAAAATGATTCCTTTGCTGAAAAAATAAGTCAAAATATATATTATAGAGTAGATATGGTTATGTATTTGGTCGAAAGTTTATGCCAAATACTCTCCTTGTTACAATTCTCAATATTTTTATCTGCACGTGGATACAATACTTGTATGTAGTGCTGTGCTGTTAATGACATTTTAATTAAATTGAGACCCAATTGCTTCAAATCATCAGTGAATTTTAATTGAGATGTCTCCTGTGGCAGTAAAAACGCATGTTTTGAACAGTTCAGATTTCTTTGTTCAGAAAAAAAAAAATCTAATTGACCACAAAATTGATAAATGTGAGGAACACATTAATGCAAATGATTCATGTTTTGCCATATACCTTAGGCCTAATTTTATGTATATATTTTAGTTTCAAAACTTATATAAAAAACATGCCTAAACCTGTATGGAGTACATTTTTGTTTTATTTTACTTACATTGCATCAGACCCTTATACATTTTACCACAGACATAAAGGCGCACATGTGTTTTTGTAGAGGACATACCAGGAGGTAATCGGCCCAGATCTCACGGGCCGTGTCTAGAGCAGCCTGTCGGAGCTTCATAACATGTTCATAACGTAGATTATTCCAGTGCTTTGGCCCCAACTCATCTTCAAAAGAGCTACAGTATAAACATATAGAGACAGCACACCATGGATCACAAAGTTTTCACACCAGTTAGTTACCATCTGCAAAGTACCAACAAACATGAAGAACAAAAACCTTAAGTATAAATAAGGAATGTCCTGATTATTATATTAATAATCAGTGGTAATGTACAGTATTAGAATGAAAAAATATTAAGGATTGAGCATGTGCTATTATGCATAATCATGAATAATCGTGATATTGTGATGGTTCCTCCATAATCACAACACTAAAATTTTATATCATGTCATCCGTAGTTTAAATGAGATCTAAACCAACCAAGACCAAACCAGATCAAATACCAGATCAAACACAAAATCTAAGCTAAACCAGGACCAAGTTAGGACTAATCACTCAAAAATCAGGGCTGGGACTGTAAAACGGTCCAGAATAAGACACTGGTTATGACCAAAATCTCATTATTATCTGATTATGTTTTTGGGAGTACTGTTTACGGAAATGCCATATAAACAGTTGTATATGACGTGAATAATCAGATTTCTTTCTGATTGTTTGACACCTGTGCACGTGTTGACAAAATAAATTATACAAAATAGGGCAAATGGGGCAAAGGCAGTTTTGAAATTCATTGTTCTTTGACTCCAAAATACAACAGCTACTCTAAAAATTCACTGATTAACTGACAGGTCACAAGATGTTTTTAATGAATATATTTCTTGTGTGAATGTAAACACAGCAACTAGTGAATATTTTAGTAGATTAGGCAGTGATTGTTTTTTCGATTAGTAAAATAGACAAATAATTATTTTTATAGATCTTCACAAGACATTTCTAACCAAATATCGACTACAATATGAAAACTGAAAGCGCATTACTGATAAAAATCTGAAATAATTTATTCTTTTTTTTATTTAATAATGCCACTGTCTTTGTTATAAGTTGTCTTTTTTGTGTTTTAGGTTTGTATAATCCAGATAACAATTACAATTAGCAAGATACTGCCATTATTTTTTTATGTCGATTAATTGTGATCAGCCAATTAATCTTTGCAGCCTCAGCAAACAGACTCTGAAAAATCTGGTTGAATTATTCGGCTATCTGATTATGTTTTATTTGCATTGCGTAACATTTCTAGTGGAAAGTCCCCCACCTGATGTCTCCCGGGAAATATATATTTAATGTAAAAAATATGGAAATATATATTTAATATAAATATATTTATATGGTGTTTGTTTATGTGCTGCTTTGTGTTGGTTTGTTCTGTTTTTTGATAAAGCATGTTACCCCCTGTCCCAAGACAAATTTCTCCCATGGGAAACAATAAAGGATTATCTTATCTTATTATCTTATATTATATTATTGTTTTATCTAAAATGTTTCACCTTATAGATTAACTACCAATCACAAGGGAGACAAGCAGGTTACAGCACTAAGCTAAATTACAAATCAGATCTGGGGAGAGCCAGCTCTATTCAGAGAAGGAATTATTGTTTGTGTTTTGTGAGCAATAGAAACACCTATAATAAGTAAATGATATATGTTTAAAGCATAAATGTTTAAAGTCATATCATGGAACATTCCAAGCAAAGCAATAACACTTCCATGGAGACAAGCAGACCCTCCACCAGAAAGGTTGTGCAGTGCAGCTTTAATGCCGATGTAAATGTACCCACTGACATGCCTAACACATTAACAGCATTACATTCAGAAACAGTTGTTTGCACACCGTGTTCTTCTTGAAACATTACAGTACAAACCTGCGGCCCTCGTCAGGCCTCCACTCCACATAATGATAGTCACTCTGCACCTTTATGAGCCAGTCTCTCAGGAGCGCTGTAGTGTTGTCTATGTTGTGATCTGTCGCCACCCTGTCAGCAAAAAAACACATCAGGAACAGTCTGCACTCACCTCTATTACAGATACTACACAGTTTAAAAGACCAGTATATAGCCTGTGCTCTAACTGTTTTTAACAAACTAAACCAGTGTCTTAACCTGCTTGTAATACAGAGGACACATACATGTTTTTTAGATGGTTTATCGGTTATTGTGATGTGGTATTGGAGGGTTTCTCCAGATATTGTTATTGGTCTGATATTGAAATTCTAGGAAGCATTTTGGTACTGATATTTTGTTCTGGACTTCCCCAGTCTCTGTGTGCCATGTGTCAGACCCAGTTTCTCTGTTTTGTCTTTTTGTACATACTTATGAGTGAAAATGGAAATAGAAGAGTGTAATATATCTGTATATTTACACAATCATGCAACAAATTACTTTATATCTTAGATGAAGAAGTTTTGTTGTGAACTTCAACTACAGTCACTTAAAATCCATAGGAAGGATGAAAAAATTATGTTACAGGCTTAATAATGGAATCACCAAATATCGGTTATTGACCACAACAGCAACAGATTGGCTCAAGAAAATTAAAATTAAAATAATCGGACCATCCCTTGTTTTCCTCATTCCCATTATATGGACAGGTAATGCCTCATGTAAAAACTCAAGAATTCACTCAATGAGATGCAGAGACTGTTTTGTCAACATTATAGTATGCAACAATTTAGCTTTGAGAAATGCTATGAAAAATATACATAACATGAACAGCAGTTAGTAAAATATACTATTTTAGTTTTGTCACACCCCTAATTTGTTATTTTTGGCTCTATCTAATATTTATCTAATTTGTACATAAATTAAAGTGTTTGTCTTCTTGTCAATATCCAGGGCAATATAACAAAATTTGTATATAATATACTGCTAAGTAAATATAGGCGATAACCGATAATATTGAAACCAATTTATGCCACAGACACAATCACCCAAGAGCAGATTCCCACCCAAGAGACTATTCTAGATATCTAGATATTATCTACAATATTGTTAAATATATATATATATATATATATATATATATATATATATATATATATATATATAAGCAACACTAAATAAATAGCATGAAACATTTTAGTACTTAGTTTGCATTTGTAATGAGTCATTATTTAGTCAATCTGTTACAGCTCAAAATTTATTATATAGCCACAAATAAACACAAATTTCCCAGTAGTGCAAAGAAAAAATACACACATTAAATATTGACCCCAAAATGATTGTTCCATCTTTCATATACTGAATGATAAGTAAAGTAGTAAATATAGTAATTATTGTGACAGGTCTACTGGTCAAACCAAGGTTAAACAAATGTTCATTTCTAAATGTCTACTGGGGAGAGATGATACATATCTCCAGACTGTACATGTATAATTCAAAAGTACACAATAGAAAAGGTCTCAACAGAATGCACCCAACTGCTAGTTTCCAATGAACCATAGAAAACTAATTACAAAGGCTAAAACACTTCACGTTTCTGCAGCTTCTCTATGCATTTTAGTCAAGTAATGAACGTAATTTGGCTCCTAAATAGTGTCCTGAATACACACAAGCATGCACACACACACACAGATGTATTGGCTCATTATTGAACCTCAAAACATAATTATGCTTTATAACTAGGTATGTAAGGATAAAAAATCTTGAAGTGTGATATACTGAGTCAGAAAATATCACGATAAACGATAATATTGAAATGCATTTATATCACTTTCACAATAACCTTCAAGTAGAATAATCACAGTAAACCCTTTTCTAAGTCAATCGTGGAATAGAATGAGCACATAAAAAGTACAATGAACACTAGAGTAGTTAGTTCTAGTATCGATAATGTGTTATGAAAGTTAAAGGTCCATTGTGTAACTTTGTCTGCTGGAGGGTCTGTCATCTGCTTGTCTCCATGGAGATGTGCCTAGAATGTTCCACAATATGGCCATAAACTTATGAATCACCATAGACACCTGCAAGCCAAATTACAATAAGAACTGATGTTTTTTAAGATATTTCTGAGCAATAAATGACACCTGTAGTTAAATAAATGCAAGTTTAATACCATATTGTGGACAATTTAAACCAAAGCCTTAACATTTTCAATGAAACAAACAGGTTGTGGACCTCCTCTAGAGAAGTTACACAGTGCAACTTTAATTATTGGACCAACTCCAAGTCAGATGACAACATATAGGCTTAATACTGCATACAGTAAAGAAACGTTTGCCCTCAAGTGTGAAGAAAAGGTACACATGATAAGTACTGAGCCTGAAAAAATATCGCTAGAATGACATATATTGAATGATAAATCGATATAGTAATTATCATGACAGGCTATGCTTTGTTATAAATAAGTGTAGAGTGCAGCCTTGCCCGGTGAAGTGTCACATTCGGAGGGTCTTGTTACGGCAGAGCAGATGCTGCCAGAGGGGCTGACATGTGGAGGTGTGGCATCTGCCTGTGTCTGTGTTATCATAACAAATCAGAGTGTCAGTGTGGGGCAGGCAGGGAGCTGGACACGAGCCAAAGAATGTGTCAAAATGAAAGAAGATTCGTCTGTCCCAGGCCCAAGCGCTCCGAGTGACAGAGGACGTGCTGCTGTGTAGTTTTATCATGTGTGTGTTTGTAGTTCTACACTGCTGTGCTATGCTAGCGCCTATGTGTGACCAGCTTCTACATCAATCTTGCTCCCTCAAAAGGGACTGCTGCAAGGCAAGCTCTGAATGGCTAGATCAAAAAGTATTTTAAGAGTAAATATTTGGCATTGTTTGCAAGCCTGTGAGAATACTATCCCCAAAAGCTAAGGGAAATCTGTACCAATAAAAAAAACGAGATGAGTGGTTTGATAGAAGGCAGTGCAGCACGTCTCTACAGAGTACACACACCATTAGGTAGATATGTGTGTGTGTGCGTGTGCGTGTGAGTGCGTGAGTGAGCTCGAGCCTGCCAAGTCCTCCATCTTCACCTGTCACATTGATAACTGCAGGTATCGACAGGTGGCCAGAGTCGCCAAGTCTATACTGTTCCTCGATGTATTTGAAAAACCCTTTGTCTCTCCCACCGAAAGGAAACAGATACAGTGTGGTGAAGATGAAAGCAGCTATGCAGTAAACTCAGCCACAGCTGCCATATGGGCATAGTTAGACTCACACACTAGCAGCTGGCAGTGGAAGATTGAACGTAGTCTAGTCAAAATTATTTCCACTGAATATTGATGAGATAAACAGAAATTCAAACCAATATGTTGAAAATTTGGTGTAGGCAAATCACTGCTTAAATAACTTTTTTATTATGAGTGTTTTAATCATTATACAAGCTCATAGAAACTGATGAAAGATTGTGTTTAATTTGAAACCCACTTCCTTTGGCCCGGACACACACTCTAAAACAGATGAAGAAGTGAGTAGGGCGAGGAATCATCTGGAAAAGCTGGGGGCTGGGTGACTGTGAGAAACCCAGCCCGGGGGGAAAGTAGACAGTCCCGCAGAGGTGTTTAATAGATAGATTCACAACTACACTCTGTTATGCCTGCGCTGTCAGCCTCCACAGCACTATTTCTCCATCTGAAGGAGTCCTGTGTTGACTAGGAAATATGTTATAAAAGCGTGGTCGTTTGTTCCAGTGAAGCCAATAAAAATAGGAAGATGTGGAGAGAGGGGAAAGAGGGAGGGGACAGGGGGAAAAAGGAGGAGGGGGTACAGGGACAGATGTGTGAGTCAAAGAAGAATTTCAGCTCTGCCAGAACCTACGCATACCAATGTTACGTTGAATAACCACTTTGACGTTTTAATTGGCTAAACTCAATAAAAGCATGGATGATAGTCAGACAGTAACAAAGGAGGGACTCATTTATTTTTCTCTGCTGTATATGATCATTATTACACAGCGCCGCCACATGGCCAAAGCTACAAAGCGCACGCGCAAACCTCATCTCACCACGAGCCTGACGTGTCCTGTTCTGCTCAGTATATTGAGTCACGTAGTCTCTCTGTAGTTAGTTACAGTAAGCATTTCTCCTATAGGTTTTGGGTGTTATAAAACAAAGGGACCCACCAGAGTGCGATGCGATCCTTGGGGTAGTTCAGCCGCTCAATGGTGCCCAGGAATAGCGGCAAAGAGTGCGCCGAGTTGCGACAGACCAACGCGATGACAACCCGAGGAGCGAGGAGCGGAGACTCAGGGCTCCACCGCTCCTCGGGGAAATACCCCCTGCTCAGGCCGGACAGGAGGACACACAGCAGGGCAGGCAGCAGAGAGGTCACCCGGGGCATGGCAGGGGGGAAACTAGTAGAGGACGCAGAAGACAGTGAAGGCGCACAGGATGGACGCGCTCATGCAAAGGCACCGCTGTTGTTTATGCCGACAGTGGTTACATGGCGGAGGAGCTGGCTGAATTAAAGGGCGGGACGTGGCTGTACTTTATGGAATTTGTTTCTCTTCTGCGTTCTCTTTCACTGGCTCAAAAGTACAGGATCACGTATTTACATAAAGCATATTTTAGGGATTAAAAGTGTCCATGTAATGTACAAAGCCTCGTCAACAAATCAGTGTCATTGTATTAAACTCCCCCCCTCCTGCTGTACGCCTTCCCCTTTAAGAGTCTTCCTACTGTAATCCATGGGAAGCAGATGCAGGCCAGAAAGGGCGTGTACTCCATCCGTCTACTGTCTGCTCTGGCAAGACTTCTGCTGGAAATTACCCACGTCTAATAAAATAACTTGATGCACTGTTGTCGTAATTTATTTCAGTTCCACTTAAGTTTACTAACTAACCTCTAAGCCAGCGATGAATCATGGAGGACTTTGTGTCTAAGTTTGTAATTGTAGGCAACTCTTTATTTTCATGATGCAAAAATGCTCATGAGATATGATAATGTGTTCTAATGATTTCCTGGGTGACAATAAAATGATAGTGAATAATAAACGCAGTGTGGAGGTAATAGCCCGGTAATTTAGTGTTGATGGTTATTACCTCCTTCATGACTCATTAGAGATTGTGTATTCTTCTGCACCACACTGTGGGAACATGTGTCCCACTATTTTACATTCTCGTCTGCTCTGACTGTGCTATGCACAAAACTGTAGCTGATGTAGGCCATTGTAACATTATCCATGTAACAGTTTCAACAGCATACAAATTAAAAGGGAAGGAATAATATATTTACATCATTCACAGTGAAAACCATGGGTAGCACAATATGAAACTGAATAGTGATTTGAATTTGTGATCATTTGGAGAGATCGAAATTATGATTCTGTGCTTTTCTGTTAAAATGCAACATTGTGGTCAAACATGGCCCCATTCTGACCACTTTGCATCACCATCTCTGAGTAAGTGACAGCAAGATTTAATTAACCAATCAGTGTTTTGTGATGATCAAACTGAAATTATGACATTAGCTCTAAGAGAATCTTAATTTGCTTTTCTTTTCATTTTCCCACCATGGCAAGTGTTTTAATGCAGCCAGTTATTTGAAATAATCAATTAAACCCATCAGCAGTAACTACTTATTAAAAGCCTTGATCTATTTTGCCAGAGGCCGAGAAAACAGTGTGGTAGGAGATGGAATCTCACAGTGGGTAAATTATATCTAATTTTGGTTCACATGTGTCCTTGTTTATCAAAAATATAATAACTGGAAAACACAGTGAGAATGCATGATGGCTTGACAATTTCAGCAGATAGAAGTGATAGGGCTGAAGGCTTCCAGCGGTGCATGTGACAATCAAAGGTCCAAATGGGCAAAATCTATGGAGTGTAACAGCAGAAAAATAACAAGGCAGAAATAATGGAGGCTATGGCACAAACAGTGTGTCCGAGGTGAGCAGTGGACAGTGAGGAGTTTGTGTGAGCCACGGATGCATCTAAATGAGTTCCACACAAAAGAAATCAGAAGGACGCACCAGACTAGCTGTGTCATATATACAAATGCAATCTGAAAACATGAAACTGGGGAGATTTCAACCCAAAACAAAATGATATGAGCATGATTTGTGCCTTGTGTTCAGATCATTTCTATGAAAAGCTTAGGGCTATACTCTACACTTGTATGGAGCATTTTTCATCTCACTTTGATCCAGGCGTGTCTCCTCGTGTATAGTCTTGACATATCTCAGGAAATACTTTACTGACACAAAACATTAACTGTTGCCTTTGCTGAATAAAGAAGATTAAGGACTTGTGCAATAGCGCCACAACTGAGAATTCTAGTAGGGCAGGGGAGATAGATGAGATGTTTTTTTATTTGCACAATTTTGTTATTGAGGAAAAAGATTCAACACTGGTTTGGATACGACAACAGATTTCTTCCCATAAGCTGTTATAAGCTTGAACAATGCACTTTGAATTTTGATTCAGCATCTTAATAATTTGGATATTATTCTTTGTAGCTCATCTCTAATAATTGTCTATTATTTGTTCATGTGGTTGTTTTTAATGTCTTCAGGTGCACTACAAGCATTTTGCATTTTTCCAGTGTTTTTTTTTAGCTGCAAATGGCAAATAAAATAACCTAAACTAACAATGATGATTAAAATCTTTTTTTTTATCTCTTTTTTGATACCAGTGTAATTTCAACACAAAATAAGATCCATCCATTTAATATCACTATGTTTAATGTCATACTGTGGAACATTCTAAGCAGAGCAATGACATCTCCATAGAAACAAGAAGGTAATGAACCCTCCATGAGAAAAGTTACACAATGAGCCTTTAACGTAAAATGACTAGTACTAAAATCTGGGAAAGTGTGATATATAATGCATTTATTTAGGGTCAACATTTACACATTCATCATCAAATAAATGCAATGATGACATGCAAATAGGAGAAATATTATAGGGAATGACTATTACATTTGATCTGTGTGGTCTTTACTAAACCACACTTTAAAAAGTAACTTACTGCAATTCCTATCAACTTTATGCACTGTGGCCCCAGTGGTGGGAGTGAGTGTGTATATTCTTTGGACCACACAAAGCCAGTATTTAAGTTTACCACAGCTAACATATACATTGTGTTAAGTGACACTAACCCAAGACCTATGTGCCAGCTGCTGTTGTAAAAGTAGTTTAAGAGAAATCCTAAAATCTGTCTCGTACTTCATCCTTTCAGTACACTGGACCAGGGCCATAATACTCCCATGTACTCTCAGGTTGAGTTACAGTTAGGATGAACCTAGTGCCAAGATGAAGCTAGTGCCAAGTCTCTATGCAACACTATCCCCTACTATTTAAATGTGGGCTGTCCAAACAATTGGTTGGATAAATACTGGTTTCAGATAGCATGAATGTAATTAGATACCAAGAATTATCTTTGTCATTCTGCTGAGGGAATTTTCACCTACACACACACACACACACACACACGTATATATATAATTAATTAATTTAAATGAATGAATTAACTATATTACACTATACTATAAATATCATCCGGACAAACACACCCAGATTAAATGACACAGACATTTCGTATTCAAAGTTTGTAGATATTTACAGTTCTACATTAGACCTATTTAGCTCACATGACCTGGAAGTTATGGTTTTCTATTTGTGTTCAGGATCTGACAAGTTAAAAGCCACTGAAACCGTACACTTCAAACATATCAGACATACTGTACATGTTGTGCTACCGAGCCACTTAACAAACCCAAATATACCTCTCTTAATATTTCTATTACATGCAGTTCATTTGTGTTTTATTAAAATGTAAAACTCCTACTTATCTTTAAGAGGAAGGAGCTGATAGGTGACAAGTGAAGGCATGGGGGTGAATTTGCCTCTGGAACACAAAATTATAGTGTCATAAAAGTCAACTCTGTCAGTACATGATGTATAGCTTTTTTTGGCAGGCAACTGGAAATGGAGACTGTAAGATGATATCCAGTGCTTTAAGTGATGGCTACTGCACATATGCTACAGCCATGTACACACACTGACCCTTTATGTCTCTGTATTGCAAACTTTCAGATGAAGCAAATCTTGGGCAGTGGATGAACGATGGCCTGTGCTGCTCCCAGTGATTTCTCTGAACTTTGTGGGACGCATCAAGCGCCCCTTTCTGTGTTCTGCTTGGATGATCTGCTGCCTTTGTGTCCACAGTGTGCAGACGAGGACCATTCACAGCACAGGGTCTACCTCCTCTCTGAAGCTGCAGCTGACTGTAAGGTATCAACCTACTTTATACACTGGAGCATCGGATTGAATGCAATATGAAATAGGTTTGGTTATATGTTTTGGATATTTGACTTTTACACTTTAAGTTATAGATTTTGGTAAATATGTAATTTCACTTGCAACATTAAAGGAAATTGCATGTCAAAGAATAGAATAAATGCTGGGCAAATGGTAAATATATATATTCTGTCAAAATTTTAGATTGAAGATGTTTCACCTTTTATCCAAGCTGTTTCTTCAGTTCTGGGGTATTTTCAGCATTACCAAAAGTCAGCAGCAAGACACATCTTTGATCTGTTCTAATCGTAGGCCAATATTAAAATTATTATTGATGCTTTGAGTTCAAATCCTTTACCAGAATCATACAATTCACACAAGCTGTTTTGCCAATTTCAGACTACACCTTTCTTTGAGAATGTTGCCATCCAACATTGAAAATTATAAGGAGTAATGTGCTGTTTTCTGTATTTTCTAATCATCATTACAGTGCTTAAGTTTAGTGAGCTGAGAACATTTTCCTCAATCTATACTGTGGCTGTGTAGGTAAATGGAAGTGATAGATTATTTTTTTAAACTTTCACTGAAATCTCAACAATACATTTTTAAAAGAGTCAATCTTGATGCACTTAAAGAAGTCCTTGACAAGTCTGAATCCTGTCAACTGCCGCCCACCACTGTCTGACATGATCTGCAAAAGTCCAGAGAGAGAGGAACTTGGGCCCTGCTGGGACTGTTTAGTTATGCACAAAACAAACAGTTTTGCTGAAAGTAAAATCCCTTGGACACCATCTCAAACCAAACAGTAGCACTAAGAGGCCAAATTACTGCCAGGTGCTTTTGATTTAGCCACTCGCTTTGCATCCTGATGAGTTTGTGTAGGCTACACTCTATCAGCATGTGACATGTGACCAATGAGATCTTATTTACACAAGGAAGCACCCCATATTTATTTTGATTTTACAGTTCAAACAGATGCCACCTTCTGCTAATCCCAAAGTACTTGGGGTTAATTGTCAGTCAGTTTGAAACTGGAATTGGTGTTAGTAGGGTTACTCTAACTTTAGAGCAAGAGTTAAGGATATAATATAGAACTGTAAATATATTGTATATCGTATATCCCATCACGTAAGTTTTCAACCAAAAAAACAAACAAACAAACAAAAAAACAAGACTGAAATAAAGGCATTTATGGGTGTTGTTATTGCACTACAGATCTTAAAAAACTAGCAAATGCTGTGAAGGGGCCTGTCTCTCCACAGACCCAACTTATAATTTTTCTTGTGTGGGATCACCTTGCCTCCATGGAGATGTTCTTGATTATCTGGAACATGTCATTAAATGTAATAAATCTATTGCATAACATAATTAATTTAGTTTGATGCAACCTATGTTTATAAAGAAAGAGATTACTAGACTAAACATGTATCTTTGTGGTTATACATTCTCCAGCCTTCTACCACCTTGTGGTAATTCTCATATTGGCACTATTAAATCTGTCCACTAGGGGGAGCTGAGTATTTCACTAAACAATCTGAAGCAAAGGATGACTGTCATTGACAAAGAGACTCAGAATTATCAGCAAGTTTCCAAACACAACCAGGTAGGCCCACATTAACATATACCTAAAAAATACAAATATGTGATTGTGAAGGTTTTTGTTTTTTGTTTTTGTTTGTTTGTTTGTTTTTTTATTGACAGGGTGTTGCAGAACTTGCAGAGGAGCAAATAAAGAGAGAGTTTAAACAGCTCCACGAAATATTACAGGAGGAGGAAGCAAACAGATTGCTTTTATTGAAACAGGACAAAGATAAAAAGTTACATGAATTACAAGAGCAAACCAAACTTATGGATGAACTAGTCGTGTCCCTAGAGGAGAGAATTCGGCTGACAGAAGCTGAACTAAATGCAGGTGGTGATGGGTCCCAATTTTTAAAGGTAAATGTAAAATCAAAGTCTTAGGGGGAACTATGTAACTTTTGTGGTGGGGGGTCCATCTCTTACTTTTCTCCATGGAGATGTCATTGCTTTAACTGGAATGTTCCACATTATGACATTAAACATTTTTATTGCTAAAAATACCTGGAAAAACAGCTGTTCTTACTGTGAGCGGGGTGGAAACTTTACAGGCAAAGCATTAACATCTCTATGGAGATAAGCAGGTGATGGATGCTCCGTGAGAAAAGTTACATAGAGCACCTTTAAGTACTTTCATGTTTTAATACCCAACATTTTTCTTCTACAGGACTATCAAGTACCCAAAAAAAGGTACAGTGTGTATGTTTACTTATTATTTATTTATTTGATCTTGACTAAGAACAGAAATGTAGTCACAAGATCCATAGATAGATAATGTTTCCTGTCTTACTTCTTTTTAATTGACAATTAAATGTACAGTTGTGGAAAAGTCAATAGATTTTAACAGTTTAGTTTAAAGTAAGTAAGATGGGGATTTTAGGTATTAGTATATATTATTTGAAATAAAATACTTTACTACTATTTACTATTTATACAAATCAATGTATTATCCTACAATATCAAAATAACTTAATAACTCATGGAATTCATTATTTTTATAAATATGATTATTGAAATGAACTATTTGAATTGTTTTAATCATTTGGTGAACTTTTCATTTAAATTCAAGACATTGCACTGATATGAAAAAGCCAAAAACTTTTCTCATGAATGTGGCAGAACATCTGGGCAATCTTAAATTCTCAGTTTGGAAAAAGATGAAACACAGTGCTGTCTACAGTAAGTTTTCTAAAATTGTAGCTCTACCCTCCTGCTGCACTGTCCAGTCTATTTGATCAACATCATTTTGTAGGTCCAGTGACTCTAGATGCCAGGACAGCAGGACAGGGCCTGACTGTGTCTTTTACTCTGAATACTGCCCACTGTTCTCCTGCTGCTATGGGCCCAGAGGCTCTGTGTGTTGTGGACCATCCCGGGAGATTTCAGCCTTACTCCTCTGTTCTGGCTCGAGAAGGCTTCAGCTCTGGAGTGCACAGCTGGGATGTTGAGGTATGGATTTTTTCAATGTTTTAGTTAACATAAACCATGTACTTTTGCCCTATACTTAAAGGTGCAATTTGGGGACCATCACCTTCTTGTTTGCTATTGCTCTGCTTAAAATGTTCCACGATATGACATTAAACACATCTACCTTAAATCTTTTCAATTACAGGTGGTTTTATTGCTCAAAAAACAGGCATTCTGACTGTGAGCAGGGTCGCCTCTTCACAGATCGGACCTGTAACTTGGTCTAGTTCTATCTCTATGAAGATAGAAAGGTTTAATACCATACTGTGAAACATTACAGTCAAAGAAATAACATCTCCTTGGAGAAAAGCATTTTACAGACCCTGCACAAAAGTTACACAATGTACCCTTAACACTAGAATTATTATTAAAATATATAAACTTTTTCAGATAGGATGCTTTTGACTTATACCTTTGCCACTGTTATTACTGCTTATATGTATGTTTTATGCAAGTACTTTTTTCCATGTCAGCAAATTTTTGAAAGGTAGTATTTCAATGTATTCTGGTTATGCAAATGAGTTGAATTTGTCTTGCTTTCCTCTGCTAATCACTAGTTTTAAAGGTGAGTTTACATAGCACATCAATATTTAGACTAAACTGGGATGAACCCAACTAGACCATGACTAAACCAGCACCTGAACGAGACTGAACTAAACTCAACTCAAACTAGGACTGTAAACATACAATAAATGAGACATGATATAAGTTATTAAACAATTGGTTATTGATTTGTACAGGTTGGTGAGTGTGATAACTGGACAGTGGGCGTGGCGTCCCAGTCCATCCAGAGACAAGTCCCATTTGAGGCATGTCCTGAATGTGGTCTTTGGTGCATCAGTTTACGGGACGGCCAGTATCTAGCCCTCACTACGCCTGCCCAGACCCTGCCTTACAGCGCCTCCAATCCACTGAAGAGGATCCATGTGAGACTCAACTTTGACAGTGGTATTCTGGAGTTTCAAAATGCAGAAATGGATACAAACATTTTTATATTCAATCATAACTTCACTGAGACCGTTTACCCATATTTTGAAACTATATCTCACACTGGAAGTCTCTCTATTGTGCCAAATGAAGCCACTGTCAGTGTCACTTTGGAAGGGGATATTGTAGAAGATTTTATCACAGAAACCCATGAAATAGGTGATTCTAAGACAGATTCTGACAACCAAGAAAAGAAGAAGAAAACAAAGAAACGTATTGTCAAAAATGGCCTTATTAAAACTAAACCAATGTTCAAACAAACTCCAGAAAAGATACTGTTCTCTGATGAGTACCACGTGTCTCTGTTCAGATTACAACAGAAGAAAAACACTGACGCCTGCAATCAGATTAAACATGGATAAAATTGACAAAATGCAGGTTGCGGCCTTGTTAAGTTGTAACTCTTCAACTAAAGTCATTTTAATAATATGACACATATGAAGCTTGTATTTTATGATGTTAATGAAACATATTTAGCATTGTAATGAGATGATAAAACTCTAATTGCCAGGGCATAATTAATAAAAATGTCTTGTAAAAAACATTGTTGTCTAAATTGTGTTAACTGAACAAAACTGAACTATTGCTATATAAACTTTTAAAATAAGTACAAATTTCAATATAATTTTTTGAGGGGGGCACCATATTGTTGTGAATTCCTTTCCCATTTGACCCATTGACCCGGAACCATCATTTGAAAAATTACAAAATACTCCATTGCTGAAAATACATTTAGTATAAAAAACATTTGAATATATTTTACACTATGTTTCACATCTTTTTAATACACATAATATTACAAGCTCTCAGTCTGTCTCATAGGTAAATTCTTCCCTCTGTAATATCTTGATACAGTGCATCGGTGACCTCCACATAACGATCAGCTTGAGTATCCAGGAAATACATCTTTTCACTTGAGTTCTGAGGCTTGTATCCTTCTTGCTGCAATTTAGTTTTAGTTATTTTGAAGGTGCCTTTGAAAGAAAGCAAATTTATTGGTTTAAATAAAAAGCAAAATAAATTGAAGCTATTGACATAAACCAATGATTCTCAAACCACTCACACCCAGTATAGAATATATTTGACTAACTAAATGAGCTATTAAACAAGCAGAAATCCAGAACTAATGGGCAAAATTAATATAAATGTATGTAATATACATATTACACTGTCTCGAAATGAAACTAAATCAGTAAGCCCTCAGGAGAACTCCAGATAGAAGCTTATGTTTTCACAGTAAAAAAAAAAACACACATCTGTATTTTCCGTGTTTAATTATATGTTTTACCTGTGGTTTCGACGACAGACATCAGACGAAGGAATTGTGGGCGTGCATAAGAGGGTAGAGACTTCTTTACGTTTATTAAAAATGTATCCAGGTCAAATGAATCTCCTGTGTGACCAATTGCAGCCATACCAGCCTTTCCTTCAACACCTATGAATAAATGCATGCATGAGTGATTTAGTAGCAATAAAATTCATACTGGAAATGAAATCTAAAAATATATTTAAAACATTTTTGATTTTTTTAAGTTAAAGGTGCATTATTGAAACTGTTAGAGTATGCCACTTGCTTGTTCCCATGGAAATGCAGAGAATATTCCACAATATGACCCTGAACATGCTGAGTTACAGGCCAGATTTGGAGAGATGACCCTATGCTCGGGTATATTGAGCAACACTTAGAATAAACACAATGATTTCATACTGTTCAATAGCCCAGGCAAAGCAGTAACGTCTCCATGGAGGTGTACCCTCCTCCAGAAAAGTTACACTGTATGTCTTTAAAATGAATATTTTATTACATAAATTACAATAACAAAATTCAATTGAGACAGTGGTGATAAATTGCAATTCTATGGTTTAATTTCTACATATTTGTAACTCTTGTATACCTGGTACAGAGACTCCATAAACTGCAACATCAGCATGTCCCAGTAGAGTGCTCAGGACGCCCTCTACCTCTGTGGTCGAAATGTTTTCCCCTCGCCAACGAAATGTGTCTCCACTGCGGTCTCTGAAATATATGTAGCCATACTCATCCATCACCATTACATCACCTGTAAGACAAAAAGACAGGTAAACATATTTTGTTTTGCTTCACAGTAGTTTAGATTAACTAGACATGCCTGAGATGTAAGCAGAGTCTCCCTTCTTAAAAATATTATGAGCTATTTTCTTATTGGTCGAATCCTTATCGACATAACCATCAAATCTCCTCAGTGGATCTATGTTGTTAATGCGTCCAACCAACATGCCTGGTTGACCTGGGGAAAAACAAATGATCCATCTTAAAAGGTACAGTACAAAAACCATACCCCTGGCTGTATCTTCGGTTTATTTTGTTAGAGGCTCTGGGTTATTGGATAGTCAATTCATTTTCAAATATTTTCAAAGTGGTATAGGCTCCAACTAGGCCTGTCACGAAATGTTTAGTGTGATATATTGCACTAATGCACTAAGTAAACGAAACCATAAAGCAGAATTATCCCCCAAAAATATTCTAAATGAAATGTACAATATTGTTAAATTAAAAATGCTTGTGGTGATGATGGCCCCCGCCCCGGGTCACACGCCTCACAGGCCACACGGCCGCACCAACATGCTTTTGTCGATTCTCAACAGCTGCCCAGACCCACAGATCCATCAGAAGGTTCCACACATCAGAAAAACTACACAGTGCACCTTTAAATGTTTTTTGAGTCTTTGCGCCCCTGCTGCCCAATGTGAAAAATGTAATCCCCAAATTTGGTACAAATGTGATAATGATGATGTTTCATGTCTATGCTAGGGGGCTCTATAGTGTTTACTTTTCATATGCTTTATAGTGTATTATATTCAGATGACGCATTAGTGATTAAAATTTCAGCAAGATCAGACAAAGCATGTGTGTGTACTAATTTTTTTGTCTAGATGTGACACACCAAATCTGAGCTAATTTCAACCAAAAACCTAGGTGTGTTTTACACAGACATAGTCAAAGCAGCGGCAAATTTTTTATCCAATATGGCCGACTTCCTGTTCATCAAATGGCCATGCGCCTATTCAACTTTTGGCTTGTCTTATTGTTCTCTATCACTGTTCCCAATTTGTGTTTGCCTATATGTTTGCCAATAAGACTATGCATGTCCCCACTCCCATAGGGGTCCATTGCTAGGTGGCGCTGTTGAGTCAGGTCACTTTGGGCATTGTCACAATGGCAATTGCATCAAATTTTTTGCTGGGCCGGTCGATCCCATACTTGGTTTGGGGACTTTTCGTCCATGTTCAGAGGGTGAAAAATGTGATTTTCTACAGAGAAAAAAAATAAGAAGAAACCGGCGAAAAACAATAGCTCTCACCAGTTACTCTGTTACTGGCTTGGGCAAAAAAAAAATATGAGCTGCAATAAATAATAACAGATACAAACTAACAACTTAACACTTAAGTAGTTAGTTCCTTCACAACTCAAATCTGATCACAGTACACAAAAATAACCCACATTTTCCCACTTGTACAAAGAAAAAGTACCCAAGATAAGTACTGACCCCCAAAATGTATTGTTCCATCTATCAGCTATTGAACGATAAGTTGATCTTTCATTTATGATTAGAGGTCAACATATCATTACATGGCCAACTAAGAATAGAACAATCATTAATTGCTATAATTTGGACCATATAGACCAATAAACCAATATCTGCAAATCTGTGGACATTAGAGACCTTGTCCTTCTTGTTGAAAATATACAATATTTTGTTACCTGGTTGACAAGGCACACAAAGCCCTTGTTTATCCCTGAGCATCTCTCCATTCTCCTGGATCTGCATCAACCTTACAGGGTAAAAACTGGGCAAAATACGGCTGTTGAACCCACACGCTCCAACCTAAACAAACAAAAACAAATAGTTCACATATGATAATATTGTTAGCATAATTTCTATAATTTACTTTAACAAATTGTAGAAGCATACCTTTCCATCTATATTTATGAGACTACAATTACATTCTGTTGCACCATAAAACTCGCCAATTTTAGGGATCTTAAATCTCCGGACAAACTCCTCCCACACGGACTGTCGGAGGCCGTTTCCAAAGGCAACACGGACTTGGTGCTGAGCCTCAGACTGTCGAACCGGCTGAGCGACCAGGTACCGGCAAATCTCTCCTATGTATTGGATAACCTACACACATATGCAAAAGTCAGATAATGATAGACAACTAAATGTACTATATCCAGTAAATTTACTCTTGTGAGCTTTAAGTTATAGTGTTGTTACTTCATCAAAAACGTGGAGTTGTGTTTTGTTTCATTCACACATGTTTGAGTAACACTGTATTCTTATTAGTCTGCCTACATCTCCAAAGCTGAAAATACTCTGTTCCACCTTGTGATGTCATGAAGCGGTACATGTAACCTTTTGTTCAGTAGACATTGAAAATTCCAGAGCTGAAATTATCTAAATGATTCTAGTGAAGGTGTTTGGCATTTCAAAAACACAGTGGAGCACTTCCTGTATTACGATATGACATCACAAGGTGGGATGTTGTCTGTTTGAGAGAAGAACTCAGCCTAAATATGCAGAGTTTGTGTGTTAAACATGTGTGAATGAAACAAAACATGAATCCAGGTATGTTTTTAATGAGGAAAAAACATCATGAAAAGATCAGAAAATAGTTTTATATGGGCCTTTTAAAATATACTGAGAGTTTGGCTTACAGTTTGCTTGATATTCATATTTTACTCACAGTGCATTGGTGTTTGACACAGTCGACCCAGAAGCGGCTGGCAGAAAACTTCCTCCTCATTACAATAGTCATACCAAATAGCACACACTGACCCATTCCCATTATGGTCCCTGCACATATTTTCAAGATTTGTCACTTGGCATCATGATCACGGACGCTCAAATTTACAGAGGGCTGAAATTAAAAACTGGGACTAAATCGTGGGCCAAACTAAATCAACAACATCTGCATGCTTTCTCTTCTTTCGGGATATGTAATGTTAGCTAATAAACCATTTCTTATTAAAATAAATGTTCAATAAAAGTTTTGCTTAAACATTAAATCCAGAATAAGCATAATATAAAATAATAACATTTTAAATAAATAATGTCTCTCTAACCTATCTGTAGCCGGCGGGCCAGCTCTAATACATATTTGATATGATCTCGTGAGCCAAATATAATTATATCACAGGCCAAATTTGGCCCCCGGACCTGAGTTTGACATGTCATATTTAAAATATAGTGTGAGGCACGTTACCTGCAGAGTGATAGAGAGGCAAGCAATTGTAGAGTATGTCAGAGCTCTTTAAACCAAAAGAGTGAAAACCAAAAGCAGTGATTCGGAAGTATCTTGAACATTACAAAACACCAAATTAATTAATCCATCTTACATTTTGTCATCTTAATATTGTACAGATTAGAGAAGTATTACAATCTATTAACGTCATAAAAAAATTCAAATGAAAAAATAATTGAATTAGTATGTATTACAATACACTCACCGACTGTGCACCACTACAGCAGGTTTAGGCATTCCTGTTGTTCCTGAAGTATAGATGTAGAACAACACATCTAAACATAGAAATATTGGCAAGAAATGTTAAATTATTATCTTAAGCCTTTGTTCACCAGGGCAGTATGCACCACCATTCCTGAAATATTTTTGTCTCCATAACTTCAGTAAGTGTGACAGGTCTAACAAGCAAAGACTTGAGACTTTTCACTTACAAATGCCATGTCATTACACTGTCATAACAATGCACAAAAGTAACAAATTACCTCACATTGTAGGTAAAAGTAAAAATAAATGACAAACAAAAATGTAATCACTATAAATCAATGCTTAAGTAAGGATGATGATAGATTTGGTATCGCCTGATTCATTTTGTGAAACAACGTAACATCTGGGCACATAACTACTGGCAGGAGAAGACTTGTAACCTGCATGTTGCAATCAGCCTATTAATATAACTTAGAGCTGTGTTTGTCAAACAGTTGTACAGAGACCTCTTTAAGTGCAGTATTTTGAGCTTCACATCCAAACTGTGAAACCTTTCAGGCAATGCAATAATATTTCCACGGAAACAAGTTTGTGATGGACTCTTAACCAAACCATTGCATAGTGTACCTTTAATTAGACTAAGAACCAGTTGTCCAGGAGTGCAGGTCATTTAAGTACAGATTTAATCAAAGTTTGTTTGTATTGGTTTATAGCACAAAGGTGAGAGCCCCTCCGGCTGCAGGCAGCAAATCAATAACATTATTAAGTATAATAGTATCTTATTGCACATTGAATGCTTTTGTCACAACAGTTTTCCTTATTAAAGCATGAAATGTGGTTGGAGGTGTGAGGTGGATCTTTGTGTCCAAAATTGAAAAAGCCCAAAATAGATGTAATCTTACCGTTAAAGTCTTTCTTGAGGGTGTAGGTGGGTTTGTGTTTTGATGATCGGGACAACAGCTCGTCCAAGTTGTGAATGTGGAGACTTTTTATCTCTTTTTGCTCTTGTCCACAACGAAATAAAATGATTTCAGACTCTAAAGAGTTGCTCACCTCCTGCACAGCTATAAAAAAAAAGTTTAAAATGACAACAGATAAAATATTAGATTTGTTCTGTGCTTTTCAAGACTTTGTGAATGAGGACACTGCTATCTGCATGCCAACAGCTTCTTCAACCACCTAAATAGTGAAGCATCTTGCAGTGTTGGCTGTGTTTGGGTATAAACTAATGAGCTATTGAAACCTTTTACTGTACATATTAAAGTAGTTACATTTCTGCTTTGTGTTCATACTATTTAATTATTATTATTATTGCATTATTTTTCATTATTTATTTATTGAGGTATTGAGTCACAAACAGTTACACCACTTATCACGTGTCAGCATCTTTGTCATTTAATGCTGATAATAATCTGTTTATTGTGTAATATGCTCCTGTAGACTCTGGCACAAGCACTAAAGGAAGGGTTATATGAACTGCTTTTAACTACTACCCCCTTTTTGTAACATCATGTTGTTTTTATGCATGCACTAGATGAATGTGCCAGTCCACAAATTAATATGCATAGGGGAAAAAATCTAGTTTTTGTTTAGAACTGAATGTTCGTACCTTCAGTTAGCTCTGTCCCAAACACCAGAGCTTTGGCCCCTGACACGCGCACACAGTGCAGCAGAGGGTCCAGTCGGAGGTTGGAGTTGATAAAAGCCGCTTCAATTCCGACCATGGCCAGCCCCATCCACAGAGGCACCACTGTGGGACAACTCTCCAAAAACAGTGCCACCACGTCCCCCTCGCTCCAGCCCTGCCCCAGAGCCCAGTGTGCCACAGCATAGCACTCCTCCAGCAGCACACCGAACGTCCAACTCTGTCAGATATACAATAATATAAACTAGTAGTATAACATAAAAACAAGTAGTTATTTTTCAAATCACCGGAAAGAAAATGACTGCAGTAAAATAAATAATCTGTTATTTTTATGTTTATTTGTTTCAATTCAGGTATATTTGTTGATATTTTTGGATATTTATAGACCTAACAACACACAAAAATCTTGGCCTTGCTTATAACAGTTTGGGTAAGAGTGGGCATAAGAACTTGATGTTGAACAATTTAAACCAAGCTGGGTTTGAGTTTGCATCAGTTATATTTTCTTCCCCCTTTAAATGCTGTCATTGGTTGTCTTGTTTGTTTCTAAAGATGCATATGAAATGGGTGTACCTCTCCTGTGGGCTCGTAGATGAGGGCAGTTTTGTTGGGATGTTTCAGCGCTGTCTGAACAAACAACTCAGGGATTGTGTGTTTGTTCCTGAGGTGATGGTACATGGACCTCTTCACTTTTCGTATGACAAACAGACACCTGCAGAATATTGTAATGGGATTTATTGGGATTTTTATAGTCACCTTTACCTTTCTTCAAATGGCACAATGTTATGATACATTAACAAAGTAATCAAGTTATCAGTATTTTAAGTTTTTAGTAAGTCTATGAATTGGATCTAAAATGTAGATCTAAGTTTTTAACTTTATTTTTTACGTTTTTATTCATTTGTTACTTTTGGCCCCTCCTTGAACCGTCACCTTATCGTGGTGGAGGGGTTTGAGTGCCCGAATGATCCCGGGAGCTATGTTGTCGGGGGCTTCGTGCCCCTGGTAGGGTCACCCAAGGCAAACAGGTCCGGGGGGACGGGTCAGACGAAGAACGGTTCAGAAGCCCCTATGATGAGTACACCAACAAGGCCAGTTACGTCGCCCGGATTGGCGTCACCGGGGCCTCACCCTGGAGCCAGGCCTGGGGTGGGTGCTCGCCAGCGAGCGCCTGGTGGCCGAGCCTCCCCCCACGGGGCTCGGCCGGGCTCAGCCCGAAGGAGCGACGTGGGGCCGTCCTCACGTGGGCCCACCACCCGCAGGAGGATCCATATGGGGCCGGTGCAGAGAGATCTGGGCAGCAGTCGACGGCGGGGGCCTCGGCGACCAGATCTCCGGACATGGAGACTAGCTCTGGGGACATGGAATGTCACCTCGCTGGGGGGGAAGGAGCCTGAGCTTGTGCGGGAGGTTGAGCGTTACCGACTAGATATAGTCGGCCTCACCTCCACGCACAGTTTGGGCTCTGGAACCCAACTCCTTGAGAGGGGCTGGACTCTCCATTTCTCTGGCGTTGGCCGCGGGGAGCGGCGGCGGGCTGGTGTGGGCCTGCTCATTGCCCCACAGCTCAGTCGCTGTGTGTTGGAGTTCACCCCGGTGAACGAGAGGGTCGCGTCCCTGCGCCTTCGGGTCGGGGACAGGTCTCTCACTGTGGTGTCGGCCTACGGGCCGAACAGCAGTGCTGAGTACCCGGCCTTCTTGGAGTCCTTGGGAGGGGTACTAGACAGTGCACCGACCGGGGACTCCGTTGTTCTCCTGGGGGACTTCAACGCCCACGTGGGCAACGACAGTGACACTTGGAGAGGGGTGATTGGGAGGAACGGCCTCCCCGATCTGAACCCGAGTGGTGTTTTGTTATTGGACTTCTGTGCTAGTCACAGTTTGTCCATAACAAACACCATGTTCGAGCACAAGGGTGTCCATAAGTGCACGTGGCACCAGGACACCCTAGGCCGGAGGTCGATGATCGACTTTGTAGTCGTGTCATCTGACCTCCGGCCGCGTGTCTTGGACACTCGGGTGAAGAGAGGGGCTGAGCTGTCAACTGATCACCACCTGGTTGTGAGTTGGGTTCGCTGGCGGAGGAGGAAGCCGGAAAGACCTGGCAGGCCCAAGCGTGTAGTGAGGGTCTGTTGGGAACGTCTGGCGGAGCCCTCTGTCAGAGGGACCTTCAACTCGCACCTCCGGGAGGACTTCTCCCGGATTCCGGGGGAGGCCGGAGATATGGAGTCCGAGTGGGCTTCATTCTCGGCCTCTATTGTCAATGCAGCTGCTCGGAGCTGTGGGCGTAAGGTCTGTGGTGCCTGTCGCGGCGGCAACCCCAGAACCCGGTGGTGGACACCGGAAGTAAGGGATGCTGTCAAGCTGAAGAAGGAGTCCTATCGGGCCTTGCTGGCTCGGGGGACTCCTGAAGGCAGCTGACAGGTACCGGCGGGCCAAGCGTGCTGCAGCCCGTGTGGTCGCGGAGGCAAAAACTCGGAGCTGGGAGGAGTTCGGGGAGGCCATGGAGAAGGACTATCGGACGGCCTCAAAGAGATTCTGGCAAACCGTCCGGCGCCTCAGGAGGGGAAAGCAGTTCTTCACCAACACTGTTTACAGTGCGGGGGGAGAGCTGTTGACCTCGACTGGGGACGTTGTCCGGCGGTGGAAGGAATACTTTGAGGATCTCCTCAATCCCACCGTCACGTCCTCCGAGGAGGAGGCCGAGGCTGGGGACTCGGAGGCGGACTCATCCATCACCCTGGCCGAAGTCACTGAGGTGGTTGGCAAGCTCCTTGGTGGCAAGGCTCCGGGTTTGGATGAGATCCGTCCTGAGTACCTGAAGTCTCTGGATGTTGTGGGGCTGTCTTGGCTGACACGCCTCTTCAACATCGCGTGGCGGTCGGGGACAGTACCTCTGGACTGGCAAACCGGGGGTGGTGGTCCCTCTGTATAAGAAGGGGGACCGGAGGGTGTGTTCCAACTATAGGGGGATCACACTTCTCAGCCTTCCCGGTAAGGTCTATGCCAGGGTACTGGAGAGGAGAATCCGGCCGATAGTCGAACCTCGGATTCAGGAGGAGCAGTGTGGTTTTCGTCCTGGCCGTGGAACACTGGACCAGCTCTACACTCTCCATCAGGTGCTCGAGGGTTCATGGGAGTTTGCCCAACCAGTCCACATGTGTTTTGTGGATCTGGAGAAGGCATTCGACCGTGTCCCTCGTGGTGTCCTGTGGGGGTGCTCTGGGAGTATGGGGTCCGGGGCCCTTTGCTAAGGGCTGTCCGGTCCCTGTATGACCGGAGCAGGAGCTGTGTTCGCATTGCCGGCAGTAAGTCAGACCTGTTCCCGGTGCATGTTGGACTCCGCCAGGGCTGCCCTTTGTCACCGGTTCTGTTCATTGTATTTATGGACAGAATTTCTAGGCGCAGTCAGGGGCCGGAGGGGGTCCGGTTTGGGGACCACAGGATTTCATCTCTGCTGTTTGCGGACGATGTTGTCCTGTTGGCTTCATCGAACCAGGACCTGCAATGTGCACTGGGGCGGTTTGCAGCCGAGTGTGAAGCGGCTGGGATGAAGATCAGCTCTTCCAAGTCCGAGGCCATGGTTCTCGACCGGAAAAAGGTGGCTTGCCCTCTCCGGGTGGGTGGGGAGTCTTTGCCTCAAGTGGAGGAGTTCAAGTATCTCGGGGTCTTGTTCACGAGTGAGGGAAGGACGGAACGTGAGATTGACAGGCGGATCGGTGCAGCTTCTGCAGTGATGCGGTCGCTGTATCGGACCGTTGTGGTGAAGAGGAACTGAGCCGAAAGGCGAAGCTCTCGATTTACCGGTCAGTCTTCGTTCTTACTCTCACCTATGGTCATGAGCTCTGGGTAGTGACCGAAAGGACGAGATCGCGGATACAAGCGCTCGAAATGAGTTTCCTCCGCAGGGTGGCTGGGCGCTCCCTTAGAGATAGGGTGAGGAGCTCAGTCACACGGGAGGAGCTCGGAGTAGAGCCGCTGCTCCTCCACGTCGAGAGGAGCCAGTTGAGGTGGCTCGGGCATCTGTTCCGGATGCCTCCTGGGCGCCTCCCTCGGGAGGTGTTCCGGGCATGTCCCGCCGGGAGGAGGCCCCGGGGAAGACCCAGGACACGCTGGAGGGACTATGTCTCTCGGCTGGCCTGGGAGCGCCTTGGGGTCCCCCCGGGGGAGCTGGAGGACGTGTCTGGGGTGAAGGAAGTCTGGGAGTCCCTGCTTAGGCTGCTCCCCCCGCGACCCGGCCCCGGATAAGCGGACGAAAATGGATGGATGGATGGATGTTACTTTTGGTAAAATCCTAGGTCTGATTTCAAGAATTGCTAACAAGTGACCATATTTTACTTATTTATTGATGTTTTATGATTTTTATGGTTTTGGTTTTATTGTTTTAGGGCTGGTATGGCCAAATTTTAGCAATTTACCTTTTTGTTGTCTCCATTTTATAATCTCTGTGCAGCACTCTGGAAACTGCTTTGTTTGTAAAATGCGCTATAGAAATAAAGTGGATTTGGATTTGGATTTGAAAAAGAGATCCTGCCACGGTGTGCCAAGCATAAAGAAAGACTAATTTAAATTTCAAATAGGCCTAGGAAAAAATACTCAAATCCGTTGTTATCAGCTGAGATAGCCCTACTTTAGCCTACCTGAGATCTCTCCTGATGGTGGATATAGCCACATGGATGTACCCCCTGGATCTCCTCGGTACCAGACAGAGCCCGAGCCCCACCAACACGGTCCAGAACCCGAAGACGCGAAGAGCTGCTGCCGCGCCAAGAACAGCGAGGCACCCCACGACAACAGCCTTCAAAACCATCCTGCTGCAACGCCAATATGATATCTAACTTTTCCTCGAGTTACAACAATGACACAAGCAACACACTGAGTTATTAGGACCCAGGGCTGAGCAAAGAGGGCGGGTGCTGAACTGAGCGACTGTACGTGCAGGTTGCAGCTTATGATCTGTCAGATGCGTCACTCAGCTCCTCGAACGTGTCGTTTGACCCGAAGGCACAGATAGAAATAAGACAAGATTGCAATAATGTATTTGATGATTTCATGATGGGAATCACTGAATTATACACTTCCAAATGCAGCCTGTGTAAGGTTTGATTTTGTAAGTCTATGGAAAATATTTCTTCATCTTAAATTGGAAAGCATAACAACAGTTTCTTCATCAATTTACAATGACCCTTGAATGTAATTGCTAAAAAAGCTTTATTAAAAATCTGTGTAATAGTTCTATGAAGAAAAACAGTACCAAGCATACAACAAAAAGTACAAAAATAGGCTCATATACCTTTGTAGAAGTTTTTACATTCACAAGATGCTTCATAAAGCATAAGCTTTTCACAATGCCATAATAACAATAAAATATATACACATGTTCTGTAAAAAGTGGTGCACGCATCCAGAGGACAGCTGGAAAAAATAAGGCAAAATAAAACTTGATTAACAAAACAAAACAAAACAACAAAAAACAATAACTATCAAAGATGTCCTTTAAGAAATATATTACAGTTCTAGCTTTATACAATGTGTAAACTGTTTTGCATGTTAACAGTAACGCTGGTGTCAAGTTTTCAGACAGCAAAAGTGCAGTAAAATAAATCAAAAGCTCCCAACAACAACTAGAGGTTTTGATGCAGTTTCTACAGACGGACAGTGTTTGCAGGGTGCAATTAATGTGATAAGAAACAAGGAATTTAAGAAGGTAAACAGTCTGGGTCCCACAGGAAACTAAGACCCAGAGATCATCTAAACAGGGTCTATTTTTGCTTGTGGGCATTAAAATGTCACAGATAATTGAATAAAGCAAAGCTGCAATACTCAAAATACAACATTTATGAATGATGGAGAGCCATAAGTGACAAAGAAAACACTTATTTTGTTGTCAATAGTTTCCCAAGTTTAAGAGACACTTCATAAATGTATCCATAACAATTACGCATTAATCTTATGCAGTGGTTCTCCAGATGCTGTACATTATTCATTCATTCACGGTGGTGGTAAGCTACTATTGTGGCCACAGCTGCCCTGGGGTAGATTGAGGCTGCCAACGTGCACCATCTGCCCCTCTGACCACCACAAATCACACACACACGCACACACGCATACCACATTCATACTTGGCAAGGTGGGTGAAGCGTCTTGTCTAAGGACACAATGGCCATTTGGACCAGAGCCACTGCTGCTTCACTGTGGCACTTGGTATTTATCAGGCCTAACCCTGCTTAGCTTCTGAAATCACACAAGGTCAGGAATTGACAAGGTGGTATGCCCATAAAACATACATATGCAACAAGTACAACAACAAACATCTCCCATATGTTGCTATAAGCTTTGTTAAAAATAAATAGAATAAACTGAATTTTCTCCCTCTAAAACCAGTACAGCTTATGCTTATATAGACTGTCCACTATGAAGGTCATATTATATCACATAGGGACATTCTGTAGTCATTACCGTTTGGCTTCTACTTCACTAAAAATGTGTTGAACAAACAAAAAGATTCAGACAAAAAGTCTTTCAGTCAAAATATCTTCTGTGAAAGCTAGTACTTCTAAATTATTATCAAGCATGTTTATTTGCTCGGTTTACAATTCCCAGGAAATAAGTAGCTAATGAAATGTTTTTTCTCTGTTATTTTACACACAAGTCCTTTTTGAAACTTGAATTTGTAGACATATATAAAACTTTATGGGATCCCAAATCCAGTTCAGGACTCTCCGCATTATAGCAAAACTTTAATAGTAAAAAATAATAACTGAAAAGGTAAAGGTAAAGAGGTTTTTTTTTAGCCTGAGAAGTCCTGCTCTTCAGATTTGTGAATTTCCTGTGTTCTGGCCACTCCGAGACCCCTACATGAAGACACAAAAGACATCAACAGAATATTCAGTTTGGAAACTGTAGAGATCCTTACATTAACAATAAGTATATTATACTGACCTGTGATTGTGATTGGCTGCTGGAAGGATTTGTGCTGCTGAGTAAGTCTGAGTATCTCTTCTCTGGTGTGCAGATGCAGGAAAAGAGGCGCGCATACTCATCTCGTACCTGCAGAGGGCGCCAACAGAACAAAATTCAGATAGAATTGCGGCAGAAGAGGCCTGAGAGGCTTTGCGCAAATTACAGTGAAGAAACCAAGTTATTTTTAAGGGTTTCTAAAAGTAACAGTTTATGGCATCCCCTCAATTCTGGCCTATGTTACCATAAAAACAAATTATTTATTAGGTTCAGTTTAAGAAATAGTCAGTAACCAACTAGTGTTCCTCTAGGTTAGCGATCCCGCTCACTTTTTCTCATAAAGACCATAATACGATATTTTGAGGACAAGTAATAACCTTATTTTTTCAATGGTCTGATTACTCATGATTGCTGTTAACGGGGTTAATTTGCACAACATTCTCAGAATAGAACACTTTCTTATAGTGGTAGACTATAAAAAAGAAGTGAAATTCCTTTTAAAATATATAAAATATTTTCCTTTGGGGCCTGGCAGGGTGGTTATCTATCTATTTGTCATGGCTTAAATAAACAATTACCATTTTGTTCCATGGGAACGCCTAAGATTTTGTTTTTCTCTACACTAGCTTAAACTCAGGTCACTGTCTTACCTGTTTAGACAGTAAGCAGTGCATGACAAACACCAGTGCCCCCTGCAGACTGTTGAGGATAGTGAAAATATACGCCACTGCAGAGTTTGCGGCCCCTTCAAACAGGAAAGCCCCAAACACCCACATGAGTCCGAGTATACACATCTGGGCTATGGCTGTCACTGTGAATGCTCTGCAGAAGAGAGGAGGCAGTGGAAAAGAAGATAAGAAAACACAAAATATTAACAGGACTCCAGACGTTTGTATGACTCAGCGTACGGAAACTCCCTCAGAAAACTTTTAAAGTAAATAAAGATAAGATCCTGAAAGGCCCTTTGTAACGTGAATGTTGAAGACGTGTTCAGTGGCTGGGGCCTGACTTGCAGTTTGGTGGAGAGTCTTTTATGTAACATTCTTTTCACTCCTTGTTTCCTGTCTTTTTTTTTTTACACAAAAACAGCTCAGTCCATGACATCAGAATGAATTATAGGCTTAAACCTAAGCCCGATTGATTCAGTCTAGTATTTACTGATGTAAAATTGTTTTAGTGGTAATTTAAAGGGAGTCCGCCACCTGTTTGGCTTTTCGGATACGTCTGTACTTTGTTCCCCAGAATGTTCAACAGTATGGCATTAAAGTAATCTCAATGAAGACAAGCTGGTAGCACCAACAGGCCAAGTTAATGCCAAACTGTGGAACATCCCTGGAAATACAAAAGCATCTCCATGGACACAAGCAGGTGACCAATTCCCTTCCAAAATAATCATAACCAAACTATTTAAACCCTACAAATATAGAAAATGACCAACAAGGAGTTTGGTTGGTTAAACTGGCATACTTGATTCTGGTAGCTAACCAATTTAATAAAAAAGAAGATATGATTCATTACCCTAAGTAGCTGTAAATGCAATGGTGAATCTATGCAGCACATTTTCTTTTCAGACAGACTCACATCCCACATCACACTAACTTCATTTGTTCCATAATAATGACCGTAAACTGTAATTATTCATACAAGTATTTTTAAGATGAGGTCAGAAAATAAATTTCTTGAATGCGTGAAGACTAAAAAATGGCATTGTTCTCTTTGTACTTAAGCTCTTTATCAAATAAATTTATGTAAATGTTATATGATAATGAGCATCCAAAGAATCCCTAAAAGCTGAAATGAATGGCGCCTTGAGTATTAAACCAAAGCATAGACTGGTGGCACTGGAGACAAATGAGTCCTTGCATAAGAAAACATTCCTTACATTTTGGTCCTGGTTCTTTCCGTTCAAGTATTTTCCAATTCCCCGAGCTGCCACTAACTGACTTACTTTGAGCATGACAAGTGTGATTAAAAGCAGCAGCGAGTATGTCTAGATAAAAACACCTAAACTCACCTAATTTTATGCAGTCTGGACAGGTCTGGATTGAGACTGGCAAACTTCTGAGCCAGTTTCCACACAGTTAGGATGAAGAATACGACGTTCATGATAATTATGACGCACACTGGGCCAAAGAAGCTCCAAATGAGGCCATCTTTCAGAGACAACCAGCAGCTAAAAGAAAGCAGAAACACATGCTTTTCAGTACATTTAGTTTACATCACCACTGAGATAAATGGAGGCTTGTGTGACTGATGGTGTAATGACATACCACACTCAACACTTATATAACTACCGTTACTAACCGTTTTTGAGATCACAACAACACACACACATCAGGGGTCTCAAAATTCAAACTAAATTAACATGGTACAGAGCTGCTTGTGTTTTAAATGTGCATTATGTAACTTAATCAGCTTGTCTGCATAGAGATCTTATTGCCTTGCCTGTAGGGTTCAACCATATCATATTAAACTAATCTATTTTACATTTATCCAATTACACATGTTCACATTACTCAAAAATATAGTGAAAAATATGTGTCCTCGCTGTGAACAAACTTTTACAGGTCTGAACTGTAATTTGGCCAGGGGCACCAGCGCTTGTGTCTACGGAGACAGATACATTTAATGCTTCACTATACAACATTCAGATGAAGAAATAACATCTCCATGTAGACAAGCAGGAGACAGACCTGTCACCAGAAAAGTTACATAGTGTATCTTTAACATATATTTATTCATGTACATCAGTACATGTACATTTTCTGTTGTAATACTAGAGTGAATTCCCGTCAGTCGGTAGGGATGCCCCAGTGCATCTGTTATTATTAAGAAATGCAACATTTGTATCTTAGGGAAACTAAAAATGTTGGTGCTAAATTTTTTCATTTACAAACTTGACAGGAAGCCCTGTGTGTAAAAGTATAAGAGGTAAAAAAATAAATAAAATACTTTACAGCACAATAGCTGGTAACAATATGGAAATAGCATGGTAAAAAAGTGTATGACTACTGGTACATAATTACCAGGAAACTTGTTGTTTTTTTAATAATATGAAAGCATGGCTTCAAAATGCATTTATATTTTGCAATCCAAGTCACCACATCCATCTGCATATATAAGCAGCACTATTACTGTGCTATTAACAGTAAAATGTGACTGATGCCTTCATTGTTTGCTAAAAATCTATTTTTGATTAGTTAATACAGTTAGAGTTGCCCTGTGAAGCAACTATTGTATTCTATACATTAACGGGTAATTGTTTTTGAAAGTAGCATGCTTTTCAATATAATTAACTTAACTTTGTACTCACTGCTGGTTTGTGCCGTATCCCTGAGGTCGTATGATGGCAGATATAATGACAACAGCGAGAGGCGCCCCATAGCCAAAGGCAAAGAGGTACAGAGGTCGCAGTGTGGCATTAAAAACAAGGACCACCATCCGGTACAGCTGCACTCCCTCCAACAACATCCATGTAAAGACCCCCAGAAAGAAGTAATGGAGCAGAGCAGCAACAACCCGGCAGCCACCCTGAGATATAAAAACAAGATAAAACCCTAATTAAAAACGCAAATGAAACTAAGATTAGATTGCTCAAACATTATATATATATATTTAAAGCAAAACAACTTTTACTTTACTCTACTTTATCTTATACTTGAAAATGTTTTGGTATTGATAATAGCTTATTTAATAATGTGTTTCTTTAGTGACTTTTTGTCATTAACTATCACTGGCCCTGTCTCAGAATTGTATTCTGGAGTGGGGGTCTTCAGTGGCTTTTAGGCTGACTGTGAGATGGTCTGGACCCCAACCCCCCCCAAAATTTCATAATTGTATTTTTACTTCTGCAGGATCTTGTTTTTCCCATTTAAGGAAATTTGCAATATCTCTAGAGTAAATTAGGTTAATGCTAAATAAAAAGGTTTCAGGGCCAAATTCATAAAGTTACAACAAATATGTAAATTAAACCAAATGACCGTATGTACCTCCCAGCTTTCAATCCCCTCTTTATCTAGACTATAACTAAAATTCAATAATTTGCTTTTATATTTTGTGGTCTCCAATTATCGCTACAGCAAATCAGTGGAGGTGTTTAAGTTGTTGTTTAAATTATAATAAAGATAATCATAGACTTATTTAACCACCACTGTCCATAATATATTAGTGTTAATTTACAACAGTTTTAAAAGTTTAATATTCAGCCGCATAGTTAATTTACCTAATTTTGGGAAGTTGGATATATTAAGATCAGTTCCCTTGTTTTGGCTGTTAAGCGGAAGAGGATACAAAGGAAACGCATTTAAGAGGAAGAGGAAAGCGAATAGGAACCACAAATAGCCAAATAGTAGGTTCATAAAGTGGATAAAGCTGGGCAAACATGTTAATGAGACTTGGTGTAATAAGCCATAAAAAACTTAAGTAGGTTAACCATGTCTTTTGTCCTGAGGTGAGGAGGTTTGTGTGTGTATTGTCAAATACCACATGTTTTATGGCTGGTTAGTGTGAACTCTGTAATGTTTATTTTAACAGCTAAAAGGGTGACGTCCGTTCTTGTCTAAACATACCACAGGTTCAGTCTGTGAGATACCAGCGAGGAAGACCAGGTCGGCGATGAAGAGACAGATGCAGAGGTGCAGATGGATGGTGGTCCGCGTCCCTTTTATGGAGTGGCAGCATGAGAATGTGAAGATGCACATGACCAGGCACAACAGGGAGATGATCAGGCAAATCTTCGTCACCAGCTGGAGGCCAAATGTATGCTAGAGAAAATAACAGCAATTAAAGGTCCTATATTACACAAGATGAATTATTGTGAGCTTTGTGTCATGTTAAAATGTTGTTACCTCATCAAAAACATACCCGGACTTGTGTTTTGTTTTATTTACACGTTTCAATTTTTTTTTTTGTATTAGTCTGTCTACATCCCCAAAGCTCAAAATGCTCTTTTCCACCTTGTGACAGTTTTTAAGTAAACAGCTACCTTTTACCTTTAGTTCAGTAAAGTTGGGCAATTCCAGGGCTGTAATTATCTAATGGATTCTAGTGAAGGTGTCTGGAGTTGTAAAACACAGTGGAGCCCTTGCTGTATTATCACAAGACATCACAAGGTGAAACAGAGTGTTTTCTTTAGAACTATTAGGAAGAATTAGTGTGGTAAAAGTGTGAATGAAACAAAACACAACTCCTGGTATGTTTTATGATGAGGAAACAACAAGCCTTTAAGCAGGACACAGTACAAAGTCTGAAGATGGATCATTAATAAACAAAAATCCACACAATTATAAAGAAAACAAATATGACTAGATTGAAGTATTGATTAACTGAATGTTAGAGGTGCTGATGCAATCTCGCAATGTCAAAGACTGCCTGTACTTCACAGATAAATGCTATATTCCACTGAACCACAAAACCCTTATCTCACAATTATACTCTTATCACTTGTGATTTCTTACTTGTTTTATTTCCATGTAAAAATGCCAGTATGTTAGGCCCATTTCACAATGATGAGAAATCCTAGATCTAAACCAGTTCAAAAGTTTTAAACAACACTTGTTAATAGCATTTGTCACATCACATCTAACTAAAACATTTGCTCCATTCTCTGTAAATATTTCAAGATGGAAAAAGTAGTTAGCAGTTTTATCCTTAATAGGCTAGCAGCTGCCTTACACATGAAGCAGCAGCAGCATGCTCGCTCTCATTTCTCTCCTTTGGTTTGTTCATTATTGCACTTGTCTATTTACTGTTTGGTGAAGACAAATGTATTTATGAGGACTGTTTCATGGAGAACAGATGGCTGCTGCTGATGGAAAATAGTTTAGGTTTGGAGAAGTACGAGCAGTGACAGTTTAGACCACAAAACCAAACCGATGAGCAGGGAAATCTTGAAGTCTTTTAACAGGCTAAGTTGAGAATGACATAAGAACAGTGTGGTCCTGCCAAATCAATACATAACATACCACTAACAAGTCTGATTAAAAACATTTATTCTAGCAAAGTTACAACAATTTCTCAGTTATAGTTTCAACTGTATAGTTACAACAGTAGGTCGCAGGGGGATTGCAAAGCTCTGAGCTGGGAGTCGCGAGATAACTTGACTTGGAAGATGTTTTAATTATGGCATTGTATTTTAATCTGTTTTTAATTGACTGCGCTTTAATTTATTCTTTGGGCACTGTGTAAAAGCTTTGTTCAGTCCAGATTTATTCTTCTTTAAGACTGGGGCAACTCAATATACATTCAAATTTTAGTCCATAAATGGTATTAAAAAAAAAACAGGTATTGGATGTGAAAATTTAGAAAATTTGATGAAGTAGTATTTTCTGGAATGAACCTGTAATTTGTTGCATCATTGTTGCATGTTTAGTGTAAGAAACTTCAATCAAATTGACAATTGTGTATGATTTCTTGAGCGAATCTCCTTTGGGGCACTTACCTCCATAGGATACAGAGCCATGAGGACGGCGAAGCTGCTCAGATGCTCACAGCAACAGATTGTGTGTGTGGCATTAGACAGATATTTACTGCAGCCATCTGTGGACCAGGCCCCAGTTTTACTCCAGTACACACACTTGTACTTCAGCGTGTCATTCTCCTTATTGGCCTGTAAACAACATGGTAAACCTCAAAAGATAAGATATCTAAACTTCAAGAGAATGACGCACAGAAAATTGCCTACTCTTATCAAATAAATTATGCTACTTTTCTACAATTATATTAAGTATGCACTGAATGATTTATTTGTCTAACTTCTCTGAGTAGTTTTCAGACACCATTTTACTGCACCTTCAGGAATAAATGCACAGTATAGCAATAATCTTAACTAAGGTTTAGGTCACTCTGAATGATCTGCATGCAAAAAAAATAAAAAATCAGTTTAATTTCTTTGTCAACTACCTTGTACTTCTACATGCCTAATATTATTTTGAAGTAACAGATTGTGAAGCACATTTTCCTTACATACCTCAATATGTTTGAGTGTTATGTAGACCGGGTGGCTCAGGTTTTGAGTGGAAGGATTGGACACAACAACAGAAGCCACTTTAGAGTTGATCTGAAATGATGGATCTGCTTTGCCTTGTTCCTGTTTCTTGAGCCCATCAAAAGACTGTTTTACATATTTCTCCAAGTTTTTATAACTCAACAGAGCAGCCATGGTGAACCCTGAAAACCAATAATAACTTTCACACACAATTTGAAACCACTATAAACAAAAAAGTGCAAAAATAATAAAGAAATACCAGGATAGGGGCCTGTCCCAGATGCTGTGGCCCAATCCGTTTTGAGGTGTGCATTTTCATTGGACAGACTCACTGCTCCAGTCGGTCGGGTGCGACCCCTCTCCACTGCGATCTCAGCATCTGTCCATATGTTTATTTTAGACAATAACTATTTTAAAAACATAATTCATACATGCACTTTTGTTGTTCAGAATCCTGTTATAAAATGTCATTGCACAAATAGTTGATTTTGATTGATTGAGGATATATTTAGAGTAAATAATTGGAACTCTTATTAGTACTTATGATATCTTTCACTTTTTATATTTCCTACAACTTTTGTTGCTTTTTGTTACTTGCAAACAATAGTGGTGCCTAAAATCAGTAACAGCCTTAATATTATCCTTGTCAAGAGATTTAAATAAGTAAAATTAGTGTAATTCCCACCAGTCTGTGTGGTCTCTATCCTGTTGACTTTGTGCTTTAGCTGTGGGCCAATAAACCTGATGGAGTCCTCCACCGTATGCAGCAAGTCGGTCATATCCTCATCACTGTCCAGCTGCTGCAAGGGTGACAGAACAGTCTCTGTGGCGGTGAAAAATTTCTGTCCCAAAAAAAGATAAACAGTAAAACACCTGAAGACCATTTTGGCGTCTGCCTGTGTGTTTTATAAGTGCTTTTCTAACCTCCAGTAGCGCCTCTCCATTAGCCTTCCCCTCACCAGGCACTGTAGAGCCGGATAGAGCCAAACAGCTGTTCCTCATCATGGAGAAAATGGCTGCCAGGCCGCTAAGTGATGGAGAGGGAGACTACGAAGCAAAATAGAATAAGGTTCAATTATACTAACCGTAAATAGGTAGAGTTGGTTTAATGCGTCACTGGTTCTAAGAAACTGCACTTAGAAAGAAGAGAAGATATTATTATAGCCTTACATCAAACAATTTGGGAAAGTGAAATTATTTATGTAGATGAATTCAAAGCAGCACACTACTCAATAGATTCACTGCCAAAAGAGTATAATATTTAACTGTCTGCAGAAAAACAGTGTAGAGCATCTCATATAACAAAATATACAGTATTAGATAATTATAACTAACACAATTACGTAAACATTAATCTTCATCTGCTTCTTCTCAGTAGCTTTTACTCGGTCAACTCTGACAAGGGTAATTTATTTCCAGGGTTCAGCACAGACAGCAACTGAAGAAAATTCCCTCTCACAGATTTACACTGAACAACATGAAGCCACTAATTCATATAACACATCAAGGTATTTGTGGGTGAATGGGGACGGCTACACATTTTTTTTTTTTACTATGCTAATGCAACAGAAATGTGTTAAATGTGTTTTTAAATAAACAAGTTTAAGTTTAAGTCTCAGACAAATGTGAAATGATCACTTTATATCCTTATTTTGGAGTTTACACAATTGCATATCTTCAAAACAACAATCACCACATATTAACTATTTTTTGATCTGTTCACCTGTCCTAAATACTGTAAACCAATCCTTTAAAATATTATCATGCATCTCAGAATGAGCGTCTCTTAAATCAAACTAAAGATGTAAATTATAATTGTCTCAATTTTATATGGGTCATACATTACTCTGTAGTAAATTATGCATACACGTAACTTACCATCCCAGGTGAAATGAAGCTGTCACAGTCCAAAACTGTAAAAATAATAATGTAGAGATGACATGAAAGCTCGCTGGTGTCTGGTACAAGCGCCTGAGATAAGACATTTATTTCCATTGACTGATGTTATCATGAACCAACAGTCTGAAAATCATATCTAGATCTACATAATTCACAGCAAATGGTGCTGTTAAAGTTAAATTGAGCATTCAAGGTTGAGGCAAAAAAAATGGAAAAGATAAATTATGGAACTATGCTGGAAAGAATGGTTGAATTAAGAATGTTATCAATGAAAATAAGATGCTACAATTTTTATAAAAAGAAAGGTTATCAGGGTTAATATCACAAAATTGCCAGATTATCAGACAAATTAAACACTTTTTTGAGATAAATTACTGCACCTGAGCATGGAGTCTTCTTGTTATTGAAGTTTGTGTAGCCTCCCGGGCACTTGCAATAGTAACTGCCATTGAGATTCGTACAATTCCCTTCGCCACAGATTTTTTCATTTTTTAATTTGGCATCTTTACATTCATTGATATCTGTAAATAAAATGTAAAAACAGAGATAATGAAGTCATATGTGAAAGTGTTAAAAGGAAGTTTATAGATTTCAATAAAGAGCACAGCTTTTTGTACGAACAACAGAAATATTTCACAATATTTTTATAGAGTTTACTACATCTTTTATGAGTGAGGTTAAATATTCGTCTGCAATTTCTATAGAAAAGATGTTCAGAGCGTTTTATTACCCATTTACCTGAAGAAATAAGCGAATGTAGGTAGCTATAATCATTGCAAAAACAAAAAAGTACATAGAAAGGGGATAATTTGTCATGTAATACAGGTGATTTGATCTCTGTTACTTATTTAAGATTATGAAGTAATGGCAAACCTGGAGACAAACAAAAGCACAGCTGCTGATAGTCCATTTATGGAATAATCTTACTCTACAAATAGCTTTTGAATCGACTGTGAAACAATGGCACTGAATGGCCCCTCCACTTAAGGTTTCTTCCAAGGGAAACATACAACTGTTAGTTAAATTATTCAGAACATTGTTAACAGTTACCTGATAAAAAAAGAGCGTAATCATTGTGAGCTACGAATACTGGAGTAACACTGCATTTACATGGTTGCATGATATGAACAAATACTATGAATAATATAAATTTCCCTATTCCTGTTTGTACATTATACATCACCACGCATTATGTCATAGTGTCATAATGTCATAGTCATAAGACTGTGACATCTTTTAGAATAACGTTTTTATTTGTGCAAGTTTATTGAGAAAGAGAATGAGCAGACCCACCTGCACACACCCCCCGTGGATAAACACTGGTGTTGTTGAAATAACCAGAATCGCAGGTGCAGCTGTAGCCCCCAATGATGTTTGAACAATTGGCGCCCAGTCCACATATGTCTGATTGTTCTGTGCACTCATTGATATCTGTACCAAACAGAGAAACCACATTTTAGTGAGAATCAAGAAAACAACATTGGTTTATCTAACATTTAGAGCTATATCACTTACCTAGACAGTCTCCACCCAAGGTGAAATTCACAGTCCCTCCATGATTTTTGTATCCACCCAAGCACTGACAATAGAAACTACCATTTGTGTTAAAGCACTTTGAATGCTTTGGACATGGGTTCTCAGTATCACATTCATTGACGTCTAAAACAAATTAACAAAACAAATTTAAAAAAAAAAGATCAAACACAAATCATTAATAATTTATCAGTTATGAAAGTACAAGCTACTTATGAATAATTTTTCTTGCAATCAGTTTTAAAATAGTTTTATTAGTATGGATAAAAATAGATAAGACATATGCTACAATTAAGGACAATTAAGTAAGACATAGCTGTATTTTTGTTCAGAAAGAGAACTTCCTAAAATGGTATGAGAAAATGTGTTCATTACCAGTGCAGCCAGTTGGACCTGACTGAAATCCTATATTACATGGGGTGATGCATATTGCCATCACACACATAAAACCTAGAAAACACAGAAAGTATATTGTAATTATGTAAAAGTAAATGGGTAAATCATTTAAGGGCTAACTGAATATTGAAAGCTAACCACAACTGCATAACAAGGAATTTTGAGGACAACAGTCTTATTGTTAAAGGTGCACTGTGTAACTTTTCTGGTAGAGGGTGCGCCACCTGCTTGTCTTCTCGGGGAGGTGATTGTTTTGATTTGTTTTGGTATTAAACTTGTCGGTTTTGGATCTATTCCATTACAAATGTTTTATTGATTAAAAATATACACTGAGACGCATCTCCATAGATCTGACCTGTATCTTGGCCTAGTTTAGTTTTTGCTTATCTTCATGGAGATAGATTAGTTTAATGTGTCACGTTGCAGGCAAAGCAATAACAACTCCATGGAGACAAGCTTTTGGTGGACCCTCCACGAGAAGTTACACAGTGCATCTTTAAAGGTGCACTGTGTAACTTTTCTGGTGGAGGATCTGCTCCTCCCCATGCAGATATTGTCTGGCATGTTCCACAGTATGGCACTACCATAGACTGTATGGGCACTACATGTATATGTATATAACCTAAATAAGTACCTAAATAAAGCAGTCCTTAAAAGTACCTTTGTTTAACCATGCTAAGCACAGAAACAAATAACGTTGGGTTAACTTCCTGCAGAAGTTAACTTCATTCAATGGTTCCTGTCTATTCACACCTTTCTAAATCAAAAGGCTTCTTTCTTAAGATAACTGGGTAAACTAATTAAAAGCACCCCACAGTCTACTGGCCTAAAGGAAAATATTTACAATGAAAAAGTAAAAAAAAAAAAATAGCAGCCATGATGCTGTAGAATCTCTAAAAAGTTGGTGTTTTAAATGCGATGGGTAAGGCTAAACAATTTTTTTTATTATAGTTCTATGGGCTAAATTCAGAGGAGCTGAGCTGCTGGGCTATGTACGAATCAAATTGCTGTACTTAATTTAGCACCAATCTATAAGCAAACAAGTGACATACATTTAGTCATGTGTTATTAGACTCACTTATTACAATTTAGGTCTTACTGAAAATTATTTTTAATCAACCACAATCTATGCAAGCTATTTAGCTTGGAACTGGAACCATGTTATGCTGACTGGACAGGACTATGTCCTAATCATCCTATATTACACAAAATTGACTTTTGCGAGCTTTAAGCTATGTTAGGATGTTGTTACCTCATCAAAAACATACCTAGAGTTGTTTTGTTTCATGCACACATGTTTGAGTAACCCTCTATTAGTCTGTCTCATGTCTACATCTTCAAAGTTCAAAATGGTCTGGTCCACGTTGTGATGTAATGAAGCAGTATTTTCCAAGTTAAAAGTTACCTTTTACTATGTGTTTAGTAGAGATTGGCAATTGCAGGGCTGAAATTATCCAAATGATTCTAGTAATGTATGGAGTTTAAAACACAGTGGTGCACTTCCTGTATCACAAGGTGGGACAGAGTGTTCTGTGTTTGAAGGAAGAACTCAGCCTAAATCTGCAAGGTTTGTGTGTTAAACATGTGTGAATGAAATAAAACAGCAAGAAACAGCATTATAACATAGATCAGAAAATAGCGTAATATGGGCCCTTTAAAGGTTTATCATTAATGAAGATTAACAGAAAAATTTTGGTCAGTGATAATATTAACATGCACATAGACTATGCAGACAACTTGGAACTAATGTTCTAAAACAGTGGTCCCAAAAAAAAGTAAAGAGAAAAATTAAATGTTCAATAAAGAATCTACTTTCACTTCTAAACAGCAGTAGGTTTTTGATGTTTTGATGTAAATTTGATTATCCCAGACAAATAAGTGTGGACCTCCATCTTAGGAAAAAAGTCTGGGGGAATCTCTCTCTATCCCTCTGCACTGTTGAGGACCAGACAACTGCACCATTTAAAAGAAAATTAATGCTCCACTCTTCTCAGTTACACAGAACATAAATATATATATATATGCAGTTTTACATCCCTATACATATTGTTTAATTTTTCCATGTTGAATTCCTGTCTCTGACCCCTAAAAGCCTATCGTTTACACTCAATGTACACATGTTACTATAGGGGTAGACACAGCCCTGTATAGCGTGAGATAAACAGTTTTCAAGTCTGAGCGTTTCCCTGCTTTAGTCACAATAGAGCCTCTGTTAGAGTCTCCCTTATTATGACCACAGACAGCAGTGAGAGAGAATGTGTGACCAGCAATGACTTTATGACTAAAAACCTCAAAATACGGACAGCATGACTTTGTGCCAAGCTCAGCTGACTTCCGATATCCAATGAAAGTTGTGCATGTCTTTTCTCTGGTTTGACCATTTCCCAAAGAAAATTACTGGTCGAAACAGAAAGAGAGAAGTTACAATCACATGTGTGCTGTTGCTGACGTAGTGCATCTTGTGCAATATAGAATTTTGTAGTCTCTTGGAACTGATGCGGTTTCAAAACTACTGGTTTTCATCTGCAAACATTTTTTATTTTTTGACGGAGAGTTGTCCTGTCCATTGGGACAACACAGTTATCGCTAGTAGCTTGTAGTAGCTCTGTGTGTACAATTTATGGTCCTGGCAAATTCTGAATTCAGTGGTATATCAGAGTTATGTGTCCATTTTTCAAGTTAAATAGGTTATGTTTCTTTAAAATGTCACAGTGATACCAGTGTCTGGGCTTTTGGACAAGAAGTCAATTTATATAATGAGCTTCTATTTTTCATTTTTCACTTTCAATTTTGTAAATACAAGCATTTATAGTAACAATTCTGCCCTGGAATAAAAAACACACACACACACACACAAAGACATTGAAAGGTGTTCTTGACTGAATTTTGATTGAAATTTGACCTCATTCTTCTCAAGAATGATTAAATGATTCACCATCCCACTCAGAGGCCAGTCCAAACAAGTGTATTCAATCGTCTGTCCTTCACAGTCTACTGTACAGAAATGAATTGACATTATTCGTATAGTCTTTAAAGGTCACAAAACATACAAAATTTATTGTTGTGAGCTTTAAGCTATTTTATTATGCTGTTAGCTGTTAGCTCATCAGAAACATACACAGAGTTGTCTTTTGTTTCATTCACAATTGTTTGAGTAATTCTTTTATTTTTATGTCTAAATCTCCAAAGCTCAAAATGCTCCATTCCACCTTATGATGTCATGAAGCAGTCATTTTCAGGTTAACGGCCACCATTTACCTTTAGTTCAGTAGATATAGTCAGTTCCAGGGCTGAAATTATCCAAATGATTCTAGTGAAGATGTATGGAGTTTAAAAACACAGTGGAGCAAGGTGGAACAGAGCGGTTTATGTTTAAGAGAAGGACTCAGTCTAAATCTGCAGGGTTTGTGTGTTAGGCATGTGTGAATGAAAGAAAATACAACTCCAGGTATGTTTTTGGTGAGGAAACAAAATTATAACATAGTTCAGAAAATTGAGTGATTTGGGCTCGTTAACAAAAACAGCATTGCTCATTCATCTTCAGTTAATTACTCTATGTAACCAAGAATCTCCAACTTGGACAACTTTGAGTTTCACTTTTACATGTTTTTCTTATGGTAGTTTGTTTTATTCTCTTCTACACAAATACAAAATAACAATGGTTTAAGTGGTTTAGTGCTTCATTATAACACTAATACTGTGACTTCCCCCTAGCTCCCAGTTTGCACATTGTGGTCTCGCGGTCGCTTCTCTTTCATACATTCATAGCTGTACGCAAACAGTGAACAAATGTCAAATGTCTGAAGCTCTACTCATTGTTCCAGTGTTTTCTCTAGATTCTGACAAGCAGATGTTAAAAGACAACTTACCAAGTAGTAGAAGGAACTCCTTTCCCCACTTCATGTTAAGAATGTGGTGTGAAGACTCAAGATGTAGTCCTTGGTAAGAGTATTTTTCTCAGTGTAAAAAAAAAACAAAAAAAAAAAAAAACCACACAGAATGTTTCAAAATTGCTGAAAAGTTAAGTATAAACCGTATCTCCTCCTATTGCATGCCAGGGTAAATGTGGAGTGAACTTTCCCTTAGCCAAAGCACTCAGCCTCTCATGGTGCACGCCTCTATGTCCTCCCCCTCCCTTGCTCACTCAGCTAACAACTCACACACTCCTTTCTCAGTCTCCTCTCTCACTTATCGCGATGGCCTTGTCTTTATGTTGCAACTTTTTCAATCCCCTCTTTTCCCCTCTGGATTTCCACAGTATACTGCAGGTTGGCGTCACTTGTCTATCCCAGTCTTTCTTTCGCTTTCTCTCCTCTCTGTGTCTTTCAACAACCCCCTTCTTGTATAAAGCTTTCAGAGTTTTCCCTCCTCGCTTCAGTGGGCTCTATTTCAGGAGCTATTCACCACGCTCTCATGAGAGACTGAAGGGGAGCGGAGTTTTGGGAGGGGTAGAGAGAAAGAGAGAGGGGGGTCTTGATGACGAACAGATCATCTAAACAGCTGCCGGGTTGCTTGAGCTTTGCCAGTAAGTAACCATACATCCGTTCCAAGTCCCCACCAACTTCAGTAATACATTACATTAAGACCTACTCCAGTGCTCCAGCCCCTTTAGCCTGATTCAAGTGCATTTACTTGACTGTACAAAGGCAACACTGAAGAAAAGTATGCTTACTTCTGTGCCATGGGTAACAGGCTGCTTGGTTTTGCCTCGATTATTCCACACTATTGAAATAAAGTTGGTAATCACAATGGAGGTTAATGACTACATCTATGAAGAAGCAGAATTCATGTTTTTAAGGCATTTTGAGCTATAAAACACTTGTTATTGAACAAATGCAAGGAGGATATGTTTAATGCCCTAATGTGGAACATTCCAGGCAAATAAATAACACCTCCATGGAGACAAGCAGGTAGTGGACCACCCTAGAAGTCACATAGTGAACCCTTAAGTATACTTTTGCATAGTGACACATGGGAAGTCCATTTTTATTGCAGTGAAGTCCTTTGTTGAAAGCATTAGAAGCACTACTCATGTAGTGAGAGGTAATAGTCAAAAACATATGTTGACATAGAAAATTACAGTTCTCCACTGAGGTTATGTTGGCTAAAGATATTGGGAAGAGTCCTAAGAGAGATTTGACGTCAGTTGCTATGGGTATGTCCCCTTGCTTCAGAAAGGCCAGATTTTTATCCCAAAGAGCATGAGTAAGTATATTCTGAAAATACTATATTACAGGAAGTTTATTGGTGTTATTGAGACAACACAGCAGGTCATGGGGCTAACTGCAGGATGCAGGCTAAAGGAAGCTGAGATGGTTTGCATATGCACAACAACACCACCTTTGAACCACATTGCAGCACACAAAATGTAATCTTACAGTACTATATTATATTTCACAAATTCTAGATTACAGTGGTTTAATGTAATAGCTGTAACACTTTTAACAGTGATTTATCTCTATAGTTGTAGTACCTCTTTCTGTTTAAATGTTTTTGTTTTGAGCCGCTCCCTATAGGCCTACACCACAAAGAAGACTAAAGAACTAAAATTAGAATAGAATAGCCAGATTAACTGTGGTGAACTTTAACCTTAACATTATATTATAGATTGATCCTAGTTAATAATTGTTGATTTGGTGACGCCTCTATTGTGTGACTAGAGCTAGACTTTGGACGTAACATGCTTGGAGGAAGATTAAAAAAGAAACAAATCTAACATATTGCTACAGTAAAGAGAAGTGGCATGTGATCTTTCTCAATTCTGTTATAGTGAGAGAAAATCAACCAGTGGTGACCTTGTTTTCCCCTTTCATCCTCTCATTGGCTCTTGTCATTGACTTTTCAAGTACCATCTTATGTCTGATTCATTTTTCATGATTTTCACATTAGCATAGGCAGTGACCCAGACAAAAAGGAGACAGAGGAGGAAATGCAAAGAGACACACAAATCATAGTCATAGTGACAGGAAGACAGTGAGACAATTTGAACATCTTCCTTAAAGAAACAATGGGCTAAGTAAAAGAAACAGCGCATCTAACCTTATGATGTATCTGTGTGTATTGATCTGAATATTTGGTTGTGAAGTTGTACGTGAGTCATCGGCATACATGCTTGTGCCAGCTTCAGAGACCAGACTGGTGCCCAAAATTGCTTTAAAACAGAAATTAGTCTTTCACTTATGTATTGTATGGTAGAATGTGATCAATTATGCAACAACATTTTCAAGTATTGTTTTGTTGCTCTATGCAGTATGCTTTATGAGGCAGAATCTTTGTTATTTTCTTTGCATGAATCCTATGAGTGTGGGACAGTTTCAGCTCAGTTCCCACAAGAGTCACAAATTAATGAAATGTGAATCAGCTGTCCCAGGAAATTGTCCAAATATTTAGCCTTGATCTTTGCATAAACAAACACAGAAGCAATGCTTGTTTAGGCAGTCCATAGTGGTAAAGCATCTGACTCTCCAAAATAGCTATATGTTTTCTAATGGAAAAGGGACTTATGGATCACATGCATTTGTTCCAAAAATAAAATATTAGATCACTGGAAAAATCACAATGCTAACTATGCCATAAGCACCACTGTAGGCTCTGCTCTGTCTGAGGCTTTATTAGACTTTTATCTGTGCTTTATTTAACACAATCTGAACGTAAAGAACTGACTTAGCTGAAACTACAGCAGGTCAACTGATTGGTGCAGTTACACAAGTCTATCACACGTAAAATTACAGTCACAACAAGCTAGCTAGCATTGCCAAACAGCTTTTCACTTACACTCACCATTTTTGTTGAAAATTAAACTCCTAAGCACGAGCATGAACATTTGTATAGACTGTAGCCTCCTGAAAATGAAAATGTGTTGTTTAAATTAATTTTGTATTTATATATATTCTTACAGTGTTAAAAAAAAATTCTAATGTGTACATTGTGTCACCATGGCAACCCCTAAACAATACACCCTTATAGATACATGCAGAAAACCCCCAGTATAATATCAAAGCAAAGTATCACTCTACTTTGCTGATTGTGATTTTGTTGTTGCTTGTGACAATGACAAAATTCTTGAATTCTTGAACCACTTCACTATGCACCTACATAGTTCACTGACATTTACTGTGCACAGTTTATCACCAGTAAAGTGTGGTTCATAGAGCGGCGTGTGCTGTGCAGCCTCTTAGCTTTTATAAGGCATATTTTTAACCAGAAGTGAAACCTCAAGTGGTTTTCAGATGACGCCAGACTGGTGTCATACAGAAATGTACGTGTGAACCCAATGTATCACACCGTATTCACATATGACATACTGAAACCTTTGCAACACTGTAGGCACCATGCAACACCATGGAAACAAACTATAATAACAAAACAGTTTGTCGCAGTGGCAAATGAGATGTTTTTTTACACATTGCAAATGGAAGGTTGTTTATGCTCAATGATTTATAATGGTCCAGGCTGTCAACCACACAGCCCGTAGCCTTTTAATGTTTTGTGGGAATGTACATCCAATTATAATCTGCTTAAAAGATATCACAACTTCCAGTCAGTAGAGAATTAATGATTTAATCACCAGTTTTCTACAGGTGTTCTCCATGGAAACTCCCTAGCACCACTCACTTCCAGTTTAAGGCTACTTTCATTTGTTGTTTCCTTCCTGAATAAATATTTCTAAATCTACTTAGCCTTACTGGTGATTATCCTAAATATTTGCTCTCCTTCTAGGCAGCCAGCTACAAGACAAATGTCATTTTCCATTTGATATATTTTTTCCACTTCCCTCTAAGGACTATGCAGTGTGTGGCCAATAGCACAGCGCAATGTAAACAAATGCATGTCGAACCTTCAAATCTGGGGTGTCCTACGAACACTGAGGTTTTTGTGTTCTTTCTGTTGGCGTGCATTCTGTAGAATTATGTCAACCGCAATCTGAATTTTCGAAACACAGGCCAAAATGAATAACTTTTCTTCATTAGTCATGCCTTCTCCCTTTTTGACCTTCCTATTACATCATAAGACATTAACTAATGATCATTTTACTTGTAGACATTTTTTAAATATTTAACTAGCCAAGTTATTGCTCCTGCCTTTGAGATTTTATTATTAAGGTTATTATTTTTCATACCATTGACTCAAACCTCAAACCTTATGTAATTCTTTTTGAATAAGCTACTGAATGTACAGCTTAGTAAGTAAATGCAGCTTGTAAGCACTGAGTGTGGTTAGGTTTTGAGTATTTTTTAAAATTTAAAATCACAAATAATTTCTTTCATGATAAATCTGACAGTACTATTATAAACAACATTTGTGCATCCTTCACTGGCATGCTCTTCTGTAGAAATATCATTTAAATATATATACATTAAAACTCACAATAAACTCACAGTATTGAAGGTGCATGGCACATTAATACTCCACAGTATAATATTAAACTACAGGACAAACCTACAGGGGAAAACAAACCCTAGAAAATGATGCATTCTTACTGTGAGTGCAGATGCCACTTCACTGATCTGACCTGCAAGATGGCCTGGTGGCTACCCGTGCTTGTCTTCATGGAGACTGATACAATTAATGACATACTATGGAACATTCAATCTGCACTATGCAAAAAGTTGCATAGTGCACATTTAACTATACACAATATGAATAGTTTGAGGAAGTTTCCATTTGTCCCTGTTTTAACCTTGTCTGTTGTATAAAATTGAACACACTTGTAGACTCTCTTCTGTTCCGTTCTCTGGGGTCCATTTATTTTGTCTGGTTCGGTGCTTGTGAAGTGAGGGGGTGGACATAGGTGGCAAAGGCCAGATACTTCCTCTTTGTAACTTTGAAGATGCTAGTACAGAAGGTTGTACAAACAACAGGGGCAATGCCTAATGTTGTTTTCTCTGTGGAGGCTGGTCACAGTTCAGATAGGGGCGTTGGTCTGGCAGCAGCTGTAGAAGCAAGCTGCGTACAAAACCTGTTTTCAGTGATCTTTTAATGTCACGCTTGCACCTCATAAAAAGGCAAGGCTCAATTTTTCAAAGTGTTAGACAAAGAGACTATTTCCTTTATAACTGAAGCAGTGTAAATAATAAGGCTTACATAATTTAATGTTTATAAACCAATTTAAATGGACAGTGAATAAATGTAGGTTGTAAGCACTGATTGTGAACAGGCATACTGTACCTGTAAAACAACAACATGCAAAAGATTAAGCCATTAATAATAGTAACCGTTAGTAATAGAAAGAGTTTTTATTGTGAGAAGGTTGTCAACTTAAATGTAAAGTGCATTATAAATAACGTTATTTATGATCTTTGCTATACAATAGGACAGTACCTGTAGAACTGAGTAGGTTGGTAAGTAGGGCAACTTTATCTGATTAACAAAAAATACTGCCTTAATGGGTTCATACTGATTTTGTGTGTTTAATATTTGTCATCTTACAAATTACTTTTTGTACTGTCCTCAAATCTTGAATAGTTCATTCTCAGTTAGAATGTCTCACAGATGCGGTTCAACCTGTAAAGTAAAGGATTATAGTTTTAAGGCATAAGGAAGTGTAATCAAGAGCTTGTGTAACCATGGCTCACCTCTCACAGTGACTCTGGCAGTGGCGGTGCTGGAGCCAATGTGGTTAGTGGCTACACATGAGTATGTTCCACTGTCAGCAGCCCTGATGTGAGGGACAAACAGTTTTCCGTCTTTGGCAGTCTCTGCTCCAGGGGGCAGCGCGGCACGGCCCAAAATGCTCCACTGGAAAGTAATGGGATGGGTGCCATGAGCGAGACACTGGAGCCGGAGGGCATCGCCAGCCTGAAGCCTCACCTGGTCAGGCAAACAGGTGGCATAAGGGGGTGCTGTGGAGATAAGACCAAAAACCTTGTTACGTTAAAATGATGATGTACAGTTGTTTTTTATCACTGTGTGAGATAAGTTATCACATTTACATAGTATTACATTTAAACTACATAGAAGGACACTGTTTCAATGAATGCTATTTTTAAATAAAACTTTTTCCTTCTCCCCCATGTCCACTCACTTTCGACCTCCATGTCTGTGTAGGCCTCGCTATAGCCGTGTATGTTGGTGGCGTTACAGATGTACTGTCCTGAGTCTTGGCGACCCACGCTATTCAAAGTCAAGATACCGCCTGCCACAGTGTGTTTCCATGGCAATGGGGCTCTGAGCTTGGACCAGGTGATCTCTGGAGTCGGTGAGCCTTTCAGAGGCAACATGAAATGGGGAGTGAAAAGCAGAGTAAAAATACATTGTGGCTGCCTATCTCCTGATGTCAGTCTGACCCATCAGGGTAGAAGTTATAGGCCTTCTCATATCTTACCTGTGGCATGACACTGCATTGTAACTGTGTGCCCCTCGATGGCGGTGAGCTGTGTGGGACTGACTGAGGCCACAGGGGCCCCTGGACCCCCCTCCACAATAATGTCGACTTTGCCCTCGCTCATGCCCTCTGTGTTTTCAGCCTGGCAGAGGTACATTCCTGAGTCCTCAGGTCGGACAGCAGGCCACTGAAGAGAAAAACGAAATGAGATAAACCTAGACTATTATAGACAATTTCAGTCTTTTCACTGAAATAATGCAGGTACCTGGATGGTGTTGACGTCACTTGTAGTGGTGGTCACCAGCTGCAGTGTGGACCCCTGGCGTTTCCAGGTCATCTTCGGTCGTGGTCGACCTGTGGCTCTACACTCCACCGCCACAGGGTCCCCCATCCTGACTCGGAGGGGTCCTGTTGGGCTCAGGCGAACTTTAGGTGGGACTGAGACAACAATGTTAGTCAAAACATATTTTAAATAAAACATTACCATAAGATTGTCATGAATGGTTTGAAACTGTGTCTATTATTTAGCTATACATGTGTGGAGTCAGATGAAAATGAAATGTACATGGATGCATGATTTGTCTATGAAAATGTCTATGAAAAAAAAGTAGTGGCAAATATAGGCTACTTGGTGTAAGAAAGATGCTTACATTTGACGTTGAGGATGGCTGTGTCAAACACTCTGCCCGTGTGGTGCGACGCCACACAGCGGTACTGGCCCTGGTTGTCGGGGCGCACATTAACAATGGTCAGCAGGAGATTATCTGGACCGATCTTGACGTTATCTGAAGAAACGGAGCGAGACCCATGTTTGAATAAAGAGTTGTGGCGTTGTGATTACACAGTAAACTTTAACTGACCGGGAAGCCTCTGACTGTTCGCTTTTCTCCACACCACGGTTGACGGAGACGCGCTGCCCGTCCTGCACCTGAAGCTCACGGACTCCCCCTGGCGGACAGTGATGACCTTCGGCTCTACTGTGACAACAGGGGCCTGACTCCACACTGCACACACACACACACACACACACACACACACACACACACACACACACACACACACACACACACACACACACACACACACACACACACACGTGAGCACACACGTATTCAACCCTGTGAACCAGCTCAAGAACACAGACACCTCCCCAAAGTAAATATTCTGAACAAACAATGGTAGTGGACCAAAAGGACACAGCTTGACAACCAAAAGCAAGAAATCAAAGTAGGGGAAAAAAAAAAAAAAAGAAAGAAAGAAAATTCTTCTAGATTCATGTACTGAAATTTGAAATGTAATTCTCTTAATTCTTATTTCTAATAAACTGAACTGAATCAATGACACAATACATACAAATTCATACAAACAAAATACATGTAATTCATCCAAAAGTTATCAATTTCTGACATGTTATTGTTTAGTAAATACATAAATATAAAATTAAATGTTATTATTACCAGCAGATGACAGAACACTGAGAAGCAAAGCTCTAAATAACAAATCCATTTTGTACCACAGCTCAGGTCCCTTCACTGTGAAACCTCCCTCTGAGTTTGTCCTTTTTTCAATCATCATTTTCAACCTTTTACCCCGGATTCACCGCCTCCTCCCACCCCTGTTTCCATGTTTGTGGAAAGGCTTTCAATCATTTTAATCTATGATAATTACATCAAAACAAATAAAAAATATTTACCACATATCAAAACCTAAAATGAAACATGATGCGTATTTTAAAAGACAGGTATATAAGATAGCAGTCCTTTTTTTTTTTGTATCAGTAATTACATTACTTTCCCATTCAAGCTGAACCTCATCATCAGATACTGCCTCTATGAATAGTATTGAAGAGTACTATCACTCAGAGCTTATCAAGAATCAGATTCAAGTCTCGTGTCTCAAGACTAGTCAAGTTAAAGAGCATGAGCCATTAAGACAAAAGTAACAGAAATGATGGAATGCAAATAATTTACCAAATCATTGTTTATTTTAACATATTTGCCAAAACATTCATACTTGAGTAAAAAAAGTACTCATGCATGGAAGACATTTAACATATTTTCCCAAAACATTGATAACCCCAGCACTTTACATCACATGAATATAATGCTTCTGAGTAACTAATGATCAAAGGCATACAAAATTGTTTAAAGGTTGTTTATTTCAAAAGTGAATACAGGGAGATGGATTTGGAGAGTAGATGAGGACCTCATGTATTGTTGAGTAGATGAAAACTATCAAACAATCTTTAACCTTAAAAGACAAAAAGTACATATAATCAATTCTCAGCAAATGCACTGTGTCATTGACTGCCTATATACTGCATTATAGCTTGACATGGGTAAGAACCAAATGATTTCCTCTTCTTATTCCTCTTCCTCTTCTTATTTTTTTTTTAGATTTTGTTTTTATTTTTCATCCTTTGCCTTTCACATATTTAATGTTTATGGCACTTAGCTTCAAATTTACTACATTTGGTTGTATAGTGCATCTAGAATGTAGTAACATCAGTCAAATGGAAGTTTGTTAAGAAGAGCTGAAAAAAGGTTGAAAATTACTGGGATGTGCTCTGAATCCCTCGATAAATATCATCAGTAAACAAAATTTCATTTGGAGTGAAGAGACAATTTTACACAATATTCTAACAATTTAAAATTTGTATTAGTCAAATAACAACTATTGTGTCATTTAGACATGTTTTGGCCCTTGGGCACAGTATGGTTTGTGGGTAACAGTTATGGAATAAATTTGTATGTATATATATATATATATATATATATATATATATATATATATATATATATATATATATATATATATATATATATAATATATTATATAAATCTGCTGTTTGTGTCCAACCAGGAAGTAAAATTATAAACGTCACCTAAATTAACCAGGTAATATGTTTTGTAGAAGCCTAAATAATTACATTAACAGTCATAATTATGGACACACATTTAAATGAATGTTTCAGGGGACTTAATCATGAAGATCGTTGATAGGAGGCTAAAGGTATGCAGTACTGTCAACAAAGCAAAGATTGTCTACTTAGGTGTCTGCCGAATCTAAAATATTTTGTTGCGTTATTTTACATGTTTTTCCTTGAACGTGAAGGTGTGTCCATAATTTCTAACTAGCAGTGCAGGTAGACTTTACTATAATATAACCATACTCACTCAAGACATTACAGCATCCCATCAGGAGTATAACATGAGGCTGCGTATCCTCCTGTTGCATTTACAGAGGTAAGGGAAAATAATAACATAAAAAATTTGTGAACGATCATTAACTTCATTAATCAATATGTTGATGATCTTTACCTGAGTTTGGTGTGGCTGGAGAGCTGGCCTGTGACATGTGACTGGTAGCGTCCATAGCTGTTTTCATGGCATACATGTTAGCTTCCTCTTGGAACTTGGCAATGTTTTTCTTGTAGCGAATCCTCTTGTTTCCAAACCAGTTGGACACCTTAAAAACATCAAGCAAAAGTAACTCTCACGTCCTGGTTTGGTCCTGGTTTGGTCCTGGTTTGGTCCTGGTTTAGTCCTAGTGTAATCTCAGTTTAGTTCCAGGTGTAGTCATAGTTTCGATATTGTGTCTGTGAAAGTGTGAACATGACTTAAAACATATGTAAGCCCTGACCTGAGCAGCTGTGATGGAGCACTTCTTGGCCAGCTCCTCTTTGGTTTCTTCGCTGGGATAAGGGTTTGCTAGATGGGAGTAAAAATATTCATTCAAAATTTCTGTAGCCTGCTTGCTGAAGTTACGACGCTTCCTCCTAAAAAAATTTCAATACAAACAAACAAAATTATAAGTGTATGTTATAAATATAATTACAATTATAATAACAACATGTATGGTGTTTTACAGAGAAGCCCAAACAGAACGCGCGCAATAAGAGCGATGTAAACGTCATGTTTAAGTTGGCGGTGTCAGTCACACAGTGGAAGCAGCAGTGCATTGGTAAAAACGCATTTGTGTCTTGGAAATTCTTCTCCCGATGTGAGATATATATATAAAAAAAACAAATATAAAATCGCCTACAACTTAAATGTGAAACCGGAGCTACTGGCACTGGTGAAAACAACCTGCATAGACTCATAATATCTACACTACTGTCCTATAATGACCTGCGACATGAGGGGACACACACACACAAACACACACAAACACACACAAACACCTTCATCATCGTCATCAACCTGAGAACCCGCGGACCACTTCTCCTTCCGTAGTTACAGCGCGGACACCGCCGTCTCGTGCGCCGCGTGTGGACTGTGTTTTCTCGCGTAAACCGCACTTCCTCCTGTGCGCCTCTAAACCAGAACTAACACCAGGACTAAACCAGGACTAACCCAGGACTAAACCAGGACTAAAGCAGGACTAAACTAGGACTAAACCACGACTAAACCAGAACTAAAGACCTGGTCTAGACCATGTCTAAAAATCAGGACTAAACCAGGACTAAACCAGGTCTAAACAACATGACACCTAACAGTAGGTTGACATAATTTAAGGTGATCTCATATAATTTCTCTATCAATAATATTTTTTAATCTGGTGAAGGAAAGGCTTATCTTGTTACTGTCTTTTAACAGACAAAACCTCGTATATTAAGATATCGTGGTCTTTGTTTCTCAACAGCAAACAGTTGCTTATTCATGGAGACTTGGGCTCAGACAAATTGAAGACAACAAACACGAATTTTGAGGATGTGGTTGCTACATTCATGTCGTTTAAAAAAACATGACAATATCAAGTAATCCAAAGTAATCAGATTACGTTACTCACTTTAAGTAATTTAATGGATTACGTTACAAATTACATTTTGGGGTGTGTAATATGTAATCTGTAGGGGATTACATTCTAAAAGTAACCTTCCCAACACTGGCTACAACTATCTGCAAATATATTTTACAACATTCAAAGTTGATGAATTGTTTATATGACTGGTATATTAATAACACTGACCGTGCATCTAGAAATCTAGAGCGCAGAATCATCACAGCTTCACAGGTGCTCTGCTTGAGCTGCCTCTGGATGGCACTGAACTTTCGATGTATAATAGACACCATGCACTCTATTTCTTTGGGAGAGATAGGGCGAGTACGAGACTGTTCCCTCAGCAGGTTCATCACATGACCAGTGAACTCGTTACAAGCCTGCGTAGAAATAAAAACAGAACTCACAATAATATCACAATTTAAGTGACAATACTCTCGTGCAACTTTTACATCAAAGTATTTCAAATACATATTTTGTAACTATAAACTAAAGAAAAACATAAGTTGATGAATGTTGTAGCCATAAAAAACGATATCAACATGTTTATTAGTATATTATAACATATAGACAATAATAGTAAGGGCTGAAAAATTTGGCGGAAATACTGTTAAAGGTGCATTATGTAACTTTTCTGATAGCGAATCCACCACCTGTTTGTCTCCGTCTAAATGTTATTGCTTTAACAGAAATGTTACATACCATAGTATGGCATTCAAATTATTTGTCTCCAGAGAGACACTTACAGTAACAATGCACGTTTTTCAAGGTATTTTTGACCAATAAAATCAAAGATGACTACATGCTAGATAGTCTTATAATGCCATACTGAAGAACATTCTAGGTGAAGCTAAATAATTTCTCCAAAGACATGTAGGTAGTGGCCTTCCTCACCAGGAAAGTTACATAGTGCATCTTTAAAGACAGTATGGAAAATATATGCGACACCTGTTCATATTTGTCCAGCTCCGTGTGGTAGATCATCCGTATCTGAGCCAGCTTCTCCCTGTAGTCTGCGTGCTCGGAGCTCTCATCGCTGGACGACCCCCCTGTGGCCGCGGCCAGAGCTGCAGCTGTAGCTGCTCTGCTCTTCTCTGGACCGGCCACTCCCTCCGCTAGCAGCATGTTGTCCAGCCTCAGCTCCTGGGGGTCAGGGGGTTCCTCCTCCGGCACACCTCGGATACTCAGGGCTAAGGGGTCACACATATTGTAAATACACAGAACGGAAAAACTGTATTTTGAATTTAGTTGCCAAGTATTCCCCAATAAACATTAACAAGCTTACAAAGAAGTACACTATAAATTACACCAGTCATTCCAAGCATTCATTAGTATCCCATAGCTAAAATAATCAGACACCAACACTGCCAAAGCGCCTACACAGCTGCTAATTAAAGGTAGTTGTTAAGGAGCCACTAAAGAGCCTGTGATGAATGAACAGTCATTTGAGAGGACATTAATTTGTGCA